AGGGTGGAAGGGGAGAAAGGGGAGAAAAAGGAATGGGACCACTATAATAGTATAACCAATAGAATACACTTTTAGAAAATAAAAAAAAATGAGCTATTAAAAAATGGAACAAATAACTAACTATATTAATAAAAGACCAAAAAAAGAGAAATTGGTGACTGGATTTGGAGAAATTTGGAGAATTTTAAGATTGTATCCATATTTCTGATTTGAATAACTAGATGATGCAGGCTGTGGTAGAAAATGAAGCAGGAGGAACAGGAGTGGACAGAAGGCAGGGGTGAGGGGCACTGGGTCACGTTTGACTGAGGAGCTTCGGAGGTCACCCAGGTGGAAATGTTCACCACACAGGTGGACACTCAGGTGTGGGCTGGAGATGGGACAGTCCTGGCTCCCACATGCTAAACTGATTTATTTAAGGGAGCTGGCTTTCTGGCTGATAGGAATTGCTAAAATGCCAAAAGCATATCTAAGAGGTTTAAAATAAATATTAATTTCTAACATACCATGAAGCAGAAGTAATGCTTATAAGGAAAATTGCCGGTGAGGAAACCAAACTCAGAAGGGTTTAAATGATTTACTACAAGACTCAAAAGCAGTCTGAAAAAAGGTTTATTATTCAGAGAATTTAAACGAAGAAACTGATAGAAACAGAAAGGAAATTAGGTGCCCTTTCAAGACCTTTAGATTTAGTGTTCTTCGTTCTTCGTTCCCTTGGTACGGCTGTCCCATTATCATGGTTTCTCCTGGGACAAACACACAGAGAGCAGATGGAGGCGGGCAGTGCCCCGAGGGAGACAGGGCCGGTCCGTGCGCGTCCTGCGGTGAGAGTGACTGTGATAACGTGGGAGTGGGGGCAGTCTGTGTGGTGTAACCAAAAAACGTTGAACACGCATCACATGCGTTTCGGGGTCAGCGCCCCATACCTTACATAGTTACTCAACATAGGTTTTTCTCCTCTTTCCTCACCATGGCCACACTGACACGATCTACCTAAAATGCAAGTACGTGGCAATCGAGGCCTTCAGTGGCTCCTCATGGACTACAGTGAATAATAATACACTGTTTCGTAAGCCATGTGCTATTCATCCGTCATTGCCTGTATGTTTATTTATTTATTTATTTATTTATTTATTTATTTATTTTTTGTGTGTAGATGTTCCTACTATGGTGTGTTCCTTTTCTTTTTTTTTTATTAATCATTGTTCATATACAGTTTTCTCCTTTTTACTCCCAATCCAGTTCCCCCCTCCCACCCGCCCCCCCTTCCCTCCCATTACCACCCTCCCCTTAGTCTATGACCATGTGTCCTTTAAGTTTGTTCCTATGAACCCTTCCCACTGTCCCCTTAAATTCCCTCTTCTCTCCCCTCCGGTCACCATCAGCCTGTCCTCTATTTCAGTGTCTTTGGTTACATTTTGCTTGTTTCTTTGTTTTGTTGTTTAGGCTCCTGTTAAAGGTGAGATCATATGGTATTTGTCTTTCACTGCCTGGCTTGTTTCGCTTAGCATAATGTTTTCCAGCTCCATCCACGCTGTTGCATAGGGTAGGAGCTCCTTCTTTCTTTCTGCTGCATAGAATTCCATCGTGTAAATGTACCATAGTTTTTTGATCCATTCATTTACTGATGGGCATCTAGGTTGCTTCCAGCATCTAGCTATTGTAAATTGTGCTGCTATGAACATTGGGATGCATAGGTTCTTTTGAATTGGTGTTTTAGTATTCTTAGGATAGAGTCCCAGTAGTGGAATTGCAGGGTCACAAGGCAGATCCATTTTTAGTTTTCTGAGGAAGTTCCATATTGCTTTCCATAGTGGTTGTACCAGTCTGCAGTCCCACCAACAGTGCACTAGGGTCCCTTTTTCTCCACAACCTCTCCAACACTTGTTGTTTGTTGTTTTGTTTATGATGGCCATTCTGTCTGGTGTGAAGTGGTATCTCATTGTGGTTTTAATTTGCATCTCTCTGATAGCTAGCGATATTGAACATCGTTTCATGTGTCTTTGGATCCTCTGTATGTCCTCCTTGGAGAAGTGTCTATTCAAGTCCTTTGCCCATTTTTTTAATTGGATTCCTTGTCTTCTTAGAGTACAGTCGTGTAAGTTCTCTATATATTTTGGAGATTAGACCCTTGTCTGAGGTGTCATTGGCAAATATGTTTTCCCATACAGTTGGTTCTCTTTTAATTTTCATACTGTTTTCTTTAGCTGTGCAGAAGCTTTTAATTTTGATGAGGTCCCATTTGTTTATTCTTTCCTTTATGTCCCTTGCTCTAGGGGACACGTCATTAAAAAAGTCTCTTCGTGAAATATCTGAGATTTTCTTACCTACGTTCTCCTCTAGGACTTTAATGGTGTCATGTTTTATATTTAAGTCTTTTATCCACCTTGAATTTATTTTTTGTATATGATGTAAGTTGGTGCTCAAGTTTCATTTTTTTTGCACGTGGCTGTCCAGTTCTCCCAACACCATTTGTTGAAGAGGCTATTTTTATTCCATTTTATGTTGCTGCCTCCTTTGTCAAATATTAATTGACCATAGAGACTTGGGCTTATTTCTGGGCTCTCTGTTCTGTTCCATTGGTCCATGTGCCTGTTTTTATGCCAGTACCAGGCTGTTTTGATTACAGTAGCCTTGTAATATAGTTTAGTGTCGGGTATTGTGATCCCTCCTACTTTACTCTTCTTTCTCAATATTGCAGCAGCTATTCGGGGTCGTTTATAATTCCATATAAATTTTTGAAGTGTTTGTTCTATGTCTGTGAAATATGCCATTGGTACTTTAATAGGAATTGCATTGAATGTGTAAATTGCTTTGGGTAGTATGGACATTTTGATGATATTAATTCTTCCAATCCATGAACACGGTATATGTTTCCATTTGTTTGTGTCTTCCTTGATTTCTTTCTTCGCCTGTATGTTTATTAGTCACTATAAAAATGTGTGGAGCAAATGCCAAGTACACAGTATATACTGATGCAGTCGCTGCATGGGCAAGAACGGTGCTACCCCGAGTTTGGCCACTGACCACGGGTATCAGCATCACATTGGAGGTGGGACTCACTAACCTGTTCTATAAGGCTGTACAGGTGAGTCTTGTGAATGTTAAAGTTTTAGAAACACTGTCCAGAGGACTAAAAGTGAGGAGATCTAATGTCTTTTCTCTTAGGGACCTTACTTCCCCACAGGGTATTGAAAGCATCTGTCGGGCAGCTGGGATTCTTAAAGCCCCTCAAAAGGAACTACGGGAATGAGAGGGGCACGGCTCACGTTTCTGACTCTTAGGAGCCGCTAAGCCACGCTAGCCTGCAGCCCTTTTGAAAGAAGTAGCTTCAGTAGTGTGAGCTGAGCACACTGAACACATATGTATTAATGTGGTTGTCTGTAAATGTACTTAAAACACAAGTATATAGTTATATTGTATAAATATGATAAACTCATATATACTATATTAATTATATATAATATATAATACATAATATATAAAACAGTTATATATGTTTTATATATTATGGATATTATATCAGCATATATTATGTAATTAATATATATAAAAACACACACATATAAAACCTATAAATATATCTAGCAGAACAGGAGTTACAGCTCAATTGTAACATTTAAGCAAGACTTTCATTTTAAGTAGACACAACAGAAATTTAAATCTACAGAATTAGCAAAGTATAGCATATATTCACTTTTCATATTAAAAAACTTCACTGACAATCTGAAAAATATGAGAGGTAGTTGTACCTAATGAGTGATATTTTAACATTCTATTGAATATTATAAGGTAAAGATTATAGAAGAAAGGAAGCCAAATTCTAAGAGAAAAAATAAGGAAAGGGCAACCCACGGTCTTGGGGGAAAAAACAGAAGTGGAAGAAAATCTATGTCCAGATGTAATTTAGAAACCGTCAGACACGCACTGGCGACAGCAGACAGAAGGTCAGTCACTCTTGGGGGCGTGAAAGCCAGAGGGAAGGAGCCCTGTTCCCCACGTTTGGTTAGTCCTGGTCCTTCTCTTCCCTCCTCGCTGCCATGACTTTGGGGCCTTTGGTTCGGTTATTCCAATTTTCTTAAAGCCTGAAAACTACACTAACAACAGCTTTGCTTCACATGTTGGGTGTCTTGGGTAAACCTTGCAGGTTGCGGTCACTCCTGGGGAGGGAGGAGGAGGAACCAGAGAGGGAGCTCAGTGCAGACTGGCTGTGCCCTGGCACGCAGTGGTCCCCGAACTTGACACGGACCAGCATGCTCCCGGAGGGCTTGTTAGGGCACAGGGTGCTGGCCTCACCCCACGTTATGGATCCAGCAGGTGTGGAAACGGGCTCGATGATCTGAATGTCGAACAAACTCCCAGATGATGCTGAAGTGCTGGTTTGCTGTACACATTTTGAGAACCATTGTTCTAATAAAATCAGTAGTCACAAGGCCAAAGAACTAGGCAGACACCGGGAAACACTGTTATCTACCTGTCTAGGTTTTCAGGACATAGATTATTAGTTAGAAGTGTACCTATCACCTGCTCAAAAAACAAGCAGGTATGAATTACTCTTCAAGGACTGTAACTGACATCAGTAGTAGCTGGAGGAAATTTCTTTCCAAGGATAAACCCAACACCTAAGGAAGTTTTATGAGACAGTGTATGTTTGCTTTTTTAAGGATTGTTGTAGAATCCAGTATTATGGGAATGACTGCTCAGCTAGCCTATTTAAATTTTGATATCAACCATCTTTGGATTAACTTAAAAATGAATACAATAAATTCAAAATTTCTGCCTGTGGTTAAATTCAAAATAAGTGTTTCTAAATATTCCTTATCCTTGTTTTAATAAAAGGATTAAAAAAAACTTAGTTGTTTTTAGACCTGATTATTAAACAAAGCAGTAATAAAAAAAGAATTCATCTGGCAAATGCATTGTTTGTAGATACCAGCCACTTATGAAAAACACATTTCTATTAAGATTGTCTTGATTGCTTAGATTTAGAGCACTTGATATCTGGACCCAGATGAGGTTTTATTTTACAGTTCAAAATGGATGGGAAAGAGTACATCACAGTAATTAATGAAGCCGTTCTAATTTTGCCTGAAGTGATTTAAAGTTCCCCGTGACGGTCTGCACTGCTAGGGAGGAGCTCATAGACTGCAGCTCGACCAGGTACCCGCAGATGGCGTCCAGGCAGAGGTTCGTGAATCTTCTCCTGAGAAGGAAAAGACTCCAGGTCAACTGTCTACGTACGTGCAACATTCCTTCCCACAGGACTCCCCTCCAACTTCCGCCGGCCGTATGCTCCCTCGAAGGGCGAGGATGAGGTGATGAAGTACGTGGCAAACGAATGAAAAGAGGAGGACACGCGGGGGGATAGTTGGATTACCACGAAACCGCCATTTTTCTTTTGAAGATTATTAGAATTCTTCATTCTAATGTAGTATGGCAGTAAAGCATGATCCCTTAAATGAATGTTAAATTATTTACATGCTTTTGGCCTTTTCAAACAAATATACCTTAAAATGGCCAATAATATCACAAACTCATAATTAAACTGTCCTTGATCACTAATTCAAAGCAAAGGGAGTTTAGAAGTAATTCATAAATGATATCCTTTCACTTGTAGAAAGAATTCTGCATAAGGCCTGAAAAATAGAAAAAATGCTGACCCTACATACATGTCAATTAGTTTCATTCAAATAGTTACTGTTAACATAAAAAACCTGAATCTGCTGTACTTCTTTATAATCTCAGTATCTTTCCCCATTCTGTCCAAAGTTGTTACCCAGATATTTATTAGAATCACTTAAAAGCTTCCCCTATGTAATGCAATATTTAATTCACAGTTACCTCTCACAGTTCAAAACCTGGCTAGGATTCTCGACATATCTCGTCAACAGTACATGTAAACAATCCAAAAGGTGCAGTGGCCTCTTCATTCTGTTCCAGAATGGATCCTGTTAAGAAAATACACACTGTAAGTTATAAGGCAAACTGCTGCCAACTGATTTTTCAACCACTGATGTTAGCTAAAACAGCCCTCAAGAGTCCGTAGCAAAATTTACTGACATTAAAATAAGTATTGAATATTATGTGTTACCAAACTTCTTATCTGGTGGTGATTAATATTTGAACAATATTGACAACTGCAGTGTGATGTTATTTAAGAGGAATATTTGATGACACCAATCTACTTTGTAGAGCATCATGTGTATTTCCTATTTAGGAACCAGAAGTAAGAGAAAAAAATACATCTCTTCTTTTCATCTGGGACATCACTTTTACTGAGGACCTATGCAGACTCAGTCTGATATTGTAAGTAAGAGACTAAATCAATAGTCAAAGAATCTCAATTCTGCCTCTGCCCTCGCCTGTCACTGGCCATGTGTGCAGAGCAGGTTCCTGAACATCCCCGCCCTCATCAGAGGGAGTAGAAGAGGGGACACTGCTTCCTGCTCCATCACAGGCTCACTGGGAGGCTTAAACGAGACGCTCGGGTACCTTCTCAAACACTATGGACACTCTGATGACGCTGCCATAAGTGACACCACTTAGTTCAACAAAGTTTTATTTTAATCTGTTATTGCAGATAAAGTAAAAATTACAAGATATAGTCTAAAAACAGCAATTTTCAACCAGTGTGCCATAAGAACTTTTAAAACATGCAGTACCTGACTGTTTAGTCAGGGGCACGGACCTCTTTTCCCTTAGACTGTCAAGTAAAAACTGACAACAGACAACACATCAGCAGCTGTCCAGTGCGAATGCTCTGTCTGGAACCATAAATACAGAGGTCACAGAGCTGCACCCTACCGGTCCCATTGCACAGTAAAGTTGTGTCTGACTGGGTAATTCCTGGTCAGAGATCCTTATGTGCAAGTACAGGCACTTCATTTTTTAAAAAGTCACTTTGGAGCAAAAAGGGCAGGCAGTTACTATTATTTAATTATTTATTTTTGGGTAAATCCATCAGTAATACACCCTTTTCTTGTCCAGATCAACAAAAAATATACTTTTTGGTATGTGGTAGAATTTTAGTCATTAGTTTACATCTTCCATGAGATGAAAAAGGTTGAAAATTGCTGCTCCAAGAAGGTGCAACATGGTGAGGAAGACCTTTAAGCATGGGTGTTTTAGATCAATTTAAAGTACATGATGATTCTTAATGTAATGCATTTAGCCTATTCCAAGAATAAAACATATATTATGTTAATTTTAAAAAGCATATTTGATTTTTGTCACGATATACAGCAAAACCCCTCTCATTATTGGTCTTAAAAGTCTGACTTGTAATTTCTGATACTAAATCAATGAAGCAAATTTCTGATCTATTACACGTTGAGAGACTTACAAACATGCAACAGAATAAACCACTCCTATGTCTACAAAAAAGTTACGTAACTTTAAATAAATGATTTCATTTCAGCTGGTATTTTGCTTACCCGTGACTTGAACAGGTGATCGTACACCTCCAGCAGCCGAGGTAAGGGCACCCCGATCTCATTCATCGTCCGGATGACGAAGCCCACGTCCCAGCTCAGGGTGCAGACCTGCTGCTCGAGGAACTGCACGACGAAATCTGGGGGAGAGAGGGCCGGAACACAGGGCTGCCAACTCTTTCCCCGGAGAATTCACTGAGACGCAGCTCGCACGTGACAGTGTGTGAGGTTAAGGTGTGCAACGCGACGACGGGATGCACACACACTGTAGAATGTTCGCTGCAATCACGTTAGATAACACGCCTGTCACCTCTCGTAACTGCCGTGTTGTTGTTGTTGCTGTAGGGTTGTTAACTCTTGATATTAAAAAGTAAGTCTTATTCATTCGTAAGTGAGCAGTTTATAAGGGGAAATCCTTTTAATAAAACCAAGTACTTATTTGAGTCAAAGTGAAGAAGTGAGAGATAAATGACATTTAAGCTCCCCTAAATTCAAGGCAGGTTTTCCCTCCAGTAAGTTGACAGCCGCTCTCACGGGTGAATGCAGGGAGTTCTCAGGATCTGCCCAACGCCACACAGGGGCGCGCAGTTTGTCAGCAAAATCCTGCGGCCTGGCGCCTGGCTAGGGCACCAGTGAGAGGCAGCCAGTCCGAGTTCCTCTCCCCTTCTCCCTCCCTCCCCTAAGGACCTGGCACCTCCCGTCAAACATAGCCTGAAGTGGCGGAATCCTCTCCCAGTCACCCCAGCCATGGCCACAGCACTCTTCCAACAGGGGTCGCTTTAGGCTTTCTGTCACCAGTTCCGTGGTGAACCTGGGGACGGGGACGGGCACGGCCCTCGGCTGGGCTCCCAGAGCTCATGCTTTATGCAAGGACGACACACTGGTCTGCATCCGAGAGCCCCTTGCTGCGCTGTAGACCCACCCACGAGTGTCAGGGCCGGCAGGCAGCAGTGCAAGCACATCCTGGGGCTGCCCTGGTGTCTGGTGCTGCCCTGGTGCTGGGGACGCCACCAGCCCCTCCTTAGGGGCAGGTAGCGCAGCAGCCACCACGAGCACTGCAGGAGATGTGCTCTCACCACTGAGCAATTTGCGCCTCAAAAAAAAGTTTAATAAAAATAAGACAGATATGTCAATGAGCAAATCCCTGGAGGTGGAAAGTAGAGATCAGTGGTTGCCTAGGGCCGGAGGAGTGGGAGTGGCTGTGACGTGGTTTCGTTCTGGGGTGATGAAAGCCACCTGAGTTTAACTGTGCGATGGTCACAAAACCCTGCGACTATGCTAAGACCACTGAATTACACACTTCAAAGCTATTAGGAAAAAATAGCATTTTACTGGATTTGGAAAACATAGGGAGGTACAATAAAAAAGAGACTGTTCACAACCCCGCTGTTGGAGAGAACACTGATGATATTTCTTTAACAATCAATATATCTTTGATTTAACAGCTTTTCAGGCAAGAAAGGCTACTACTGCATCCTGAATTTAGACATACTAAATATGTTTTTAGAATGCACTTCCCAAGGACTCACAAATGATTCATTTTGATCATTTTAGTGTGCTAAGCCATTTTTACTTTTTGCTGACTGCCAACTGTAAGTTAGACCCTAACAGTGACATTCGAATTCCCATTCATGATCCCGAAACCCGAGACTGGCCGACGTGAACGCCCGAGAGCAAGAAGAGTCCCTGAGAACGCTGCCGCTGAGCCTGCACCTCCCCTGCGGACGACCACGCGGCGGCTCTGGACGGGTGACAAAACCCCATCCTGTCCTGCTTTGCGGTCTTGTGTGGCCCGCTCACCGCGGACAGACTGACAGGAAAAGGAAGACCTCTTCCACCCTCGACCTCTCTGAGTCCACAATGAAAAATTCAAGTCAAAGCAGAAACACTCTCAAAAGCGATTGTGCAGAATGTGGCTTCTTTAGTATTAGAATTGTCATCTTTCACATACTTATAAAATGTATATATTTGCTCTTTACTTTTCTGACCAATGAAATGGCATAGCAGGTAAGTACAGTACTGTACTTACCAGAAATAACGGTATGATTCTAATGGTTTTATTTCTTGGCATGTTTGGGGAATAAACACTGAATCAGAGATGGTCTGTAAGTTTGTATCCTGATGTGTACAGAATTTAGTGATGTGTTGTGGGCATGATCATGTTGTTCAATGTTTCCCAAAACGCAAAGTGGTTTACATTCTACTTTATCAGTGTATTTATGTTGATTGTATTATTTTACAATGGAAGAGAACATGGTAGGTTGGCAAATGATGTATAATAATTGGTCCCCTATATGACCATTATAGCTAGCCTATTGCATTTTTAAGATGAGCGCCTGCCATTTTAAAGAAAAACATGCCCTCACTATAACAAAAGGGGTGGAATCAATCAAACAACCCTTCACAAAACCACCGGCCGTTTCTCCCTACGAATACGTATGGGGTGGGTTACCAACAATATTACCACTGCGGTCTGTTTGTCTGCACTGTCCTGAGACACATCTATGAACTTGGAAGTTCTATTCTGAACTATTCCTCCACAAGTCCTGCTATTCTCTGGAGGTCTTTCTTTTTGCAGCGGCAGAATTAAACTGCTCCACAGCAACAGAGAAATCATTTCGCTCTAAAGCTGATCATTCTTCCGCGTCAGTGAGGAAGAGACCCACCCCAAGGAAAGAGCCCAGGGCGGCCCGAGGCCACGGCTCACCCAAGGGAAAGAAGCGCGGCGTGCCGGCGTAGATCTTGCCGAGGAGGGCGATCTTCAGGCTGAGCGCGTGCATTCTGTCGGAGGAGCTCAGCGTCACGCTGTCATTCAGCTCTGCAAGACGGAGTGTGTCACTGGGGACCCCGGTTAGTTTTCAGGTGAAGTTTAAATGGGCTCTTTTATCATTTCAAGGGATAAAATGCCCGGAGCCAAGGAGCCAACATTCACACTAATGGAAGGAGAGGCCTCTCTGGGTCTGCTGGTCTCTGCCGTACTCGTATCTCATCTCACCGGGGCCGAGTGTGTGAGGCGGCTCTGAGGGAAGCGCCTCAAAGTCTCCCGTAAGCAGCACGAACCCTACAGTGATCCCCTCTGAGAGTCCTCTCCAATGTGGCCCGGGTGCGTTCTCCAGGGGACCACCCTCCACGCAGGAGCAGACGGTTGCCATGAGCCCTGGACACGCGAGCCTCCAGCAGCCTGCATCTGTCCCTCTGCCAAGTCACTAAGTAACGTGGGCTGAACAGACCTTTGCAGTGGGGATCGGACACTTACCTTTCTCTATGATGTCTTGCCAAAGGGTCTGCACCAATATCGGGTCTGAGTAACCGGCACAATGAATTATTGCAAGTTTGCACTCTGCGAGTTTAAATGGGTCAGCAAATTCCCCGTAGAGCTGTAGGAGAAAATGTCAACATCATACATCCAACCAGAGGTCAGCGTCCATAAACTAATAGTGAAATATTACTTCAAAGTTAAAAACCAAAGATTTTATCTAAAGTTCCTAAAGTGTGACACAAAAATATAAGATGTGTAGGACTGGTCATAACTCTGGGTTAAAATGGTGAATGAATGGTTAACTCCACGCAGGTAGATTTGAGGATGTGTGCCTTTACTCTCGGCTGGTAGATGTCCCAATGACTTTTCTTGTACAATCAGTATTGTCTAAAACAGGGTCTGAAGGATCATGGAAACACGGACATATCTCAGGGTACTTAAGGACACTAAAGCCATGTCCAAGGATAACTGAAGAAAGAACTGCTCAGAAAGCTACAGAGAGGCTTGGAGAGCGAAGCAAAGATGTCACTTTTTCAAGACAAGAAGCAAGGCAATAAAAGAGCTGGCACGAGTTTCAACCAAGCCCCACGTGATGCTGATAGATCTCGACAGTTACTGGCCTGGAAAGAGAAGTTTGGTTAGCTCTTTCTCAAGGCAAACACCACAGCAGTGATTCGTCAGTCTGGGGACATGCTGCCAAGGATGGCTGATCTTATTTTAGGGAAGTAGGTTACTCTTCCCTGTGAAACAAAAAAAATAAAACGCAAAATACCCCACCATGAATTGCAGGTATTAGGTGATTGTTTGACAGCTGCAGGAATTCTACTTGCTTTTTCATTACCTTAGTTATGTCCATTAGCTCAGAATCCAGCTGAGAAACTGCATCCTGTACAGAAGAATGATGGGAATACTGCCTTTGCAGCGTCTCTTGTATCTGCAGTTGGATCCTAGCAACCTAGTTTGGGCAGACAAAAGGGAATGTTGATTTCATTACGAAAAATCAATAGGTACTCAAAGAAATGACTGCTAGTACCTGACTTTAAGTTTCTTGAAGTTAATGTAGTAATAAAGACTTCTGTCATAACAGACCAGCAACTCCCCACCACAACATAAAAGATTTCCCAGGAAAGGTACTGTGGCAGTGTCTTGACTGCCCACCCTAACTGTTCCCCCCACGGCGGCAGCCAGAAGAATGGCCAGACCACACTTCCCAGCCCCGCTGCAGGGAGGTGTGGACAGAAGACTAACTTCTCTGCAAAGGGCCATGAGTGAAAGTAAAGTATGTCACTTTGGAGTTGAGGTTTCTAAGAGAGAGCATGTGCTTCTTACATGCTTTTTCCCTTCCTCCCTCTAACTAAAGAAAAAAAAAATAAGGCCAAAGATAACAGGAGAGCCAGAAAATAAACTTGGGTTGCAAAAATCAACCAAGTGGAAGAAAGCCACCCGTCAATCAAAAATACCCACTCTGGCTTTTTGCGGTTGAGAAATAAGCTTTTGTGTTGGGGCTACTATACATTCTTGGGGTCTCTCAGTTAAGGTGGTGTGGTCCCCTCTACTCCCTATGTCTACTTTTTAGCTCCCAGAACAAATGGTGCATGTGATGTAATCTGCTTCGCGTTGGAATAGTCAGGAAAACCTTAGAAGTGCCACAGAGAAAAGGTTTAAATTACAACCATAGTGTGACCCAAATGCTGCATCATGAGTCTTCCACGACTTACATCTAAACATGAAAATAACTGAAAAAATATGGGCAGACGAGACGAGAATGAATAATTCTGACTGCTACAGACCTATCATTTACTAGAGGAAGAACAGAAGTGCTCAGTGTGAACAGGGCTTAGTATCATCACTTACTTCCATTTTCTCTTCCAGCTCATGAAGGAATTCGCCGTCCGCAGCTGTGGAGGAAATGGCCGTGGAGCTCTTGGCGCTGAGAATGGCCCGAGCAATGTACTCCAGTCGCTGCTGAAGTGGGATTTCTGTGCTGGGGGGAAAAACACTCATTTTTATTTGTATGAATTCTTACGGTTCCAAGATACAAACACATCAATTACGACACACTATTTTATACCAAATGGACACACAAAAAACCACCTGAAACTTGAAAAAATTATTAGAGGATTTCTAATAAGAGAGAGCCACAATTTAAGGCAAAAAATACAGACATGTTTGTGTCCAAAAAAGCTACTTCCTATTTTAAAACTTTAGTTCAGGATATTAAAATTTGGACTCTTCTAAAATTAAATTAAGAATATTCTTTACTGCTCCTCAAATTCTTCATTCCTTTGCCTTAACGTGGCCAATACTACACTTAGTCTTCTGCAGAGCAGCTAGAGTGACCGCTCAAAAACAAAAACCTGCTCTCACATGCTCTCCTAAAACCCTCCAACGGCCTCCACTGACGCCCCAAGCCCCTCCCCTTCCACGCCTCCCAGTCCACCACCTCCACCCCACTGGCTTTCCTTCTGCATTCCTTCCTCGGACAGTAACCTTTCACCTGTTAAAACTAGTATTAATTTTTTGTTATGAAATATCCAGAAGTTCTCTACCTTTTAGGAACACATTTGCTTTACACACATGCACCCTAATTTTATTACATTGTCTTTTTGACAGGATAATCTAATTAGAAACCCCAATGTTTTCTTTAACAGGATTTGATAACCTTCCAAGACCTTGGTAGTAATTTAACCCAATGACAGGGTGCAGAAAATTAGTCAGGAATTGGTAAAACATTGAAAACCTTTCAGAAGTAGCTTTTGTCCTTTTAATCAAGAATAGCAGCCCTGGCTGGTGTAGCTCAGTGGATTGAACTCGGGCCTGTGAACCAAAAGGTCACTGGTTCGACTCCCAGTCAGGGCACATGCCTCGGTTGCAGGCCAGGTCCCCAATTGGGGGAGTGCAAGGGGCAACCACACATGGATGTTTCTCTCCCTCTCTTTCTCCTTCCTTTCCCCTCGCTCTAAAAAATAAATAAATAAAATCTTAAAAAAAAAAAAAGAATAGCAAATAATTGTCATTAGTAGGAAGAATCTAATGACATATCTTAGAGAAAAGGATTTAGAAGACAGTCTGAATAAAAAAGGCCTTATGCATTCTTTTAGAATCTCCTACACGTTCTTAAAAACAAAACAAACAGAAAGAGAGAATGGTAAACTTTAGATGAATCCAAATAAAAGCACAAAAACTCTGCACATGCAGAACCTGAGCGGAGTCTCATTCACGCTCCGCAGCCCGGATGGACCTCGAGGTGGCTGGGCCACCGCGCCCGCACGGCCAGCACGCTGCCGTACCTGTGCATGTCGGCCAGCTTGGACAGGACGCGGGCGGCGCTACTGAAGCTTCGGTTCTTCTCGTAATACCTCCAGAGCAAATCCATATAGCGAACTTTGTTTTGATCAACTTTGGCCATTCGGGATAGGTGTGGCTCCAGAAATGGGGAAGTGACCTGGAAGTTGGACAGGCACCCGGAAACATTTCCTCACCACCCACTTGCTCTTTACACAGCGAGGGTAACACTTTAAAGATAACCACAGAGGTGCACTACTTTATGGGCATAAAAGCAAAACTATAATCCAACGACAGATATGAGAGAGGGCAATTTTCTCATTACAAATGATTCTTTGTTTTACCACAGCTGATGACAGAGTTGCTCAGATACTTGCATTAGGCTGATAAAAATAATTTACTATGATCCAATTATAAATCTTTTAATAAACCCTGAGACCACAGCTACTGAGTCCCAAACTCTGAGCTCAAGGGCATCCTTGAAATGATCAAAGGCCACCCATTCGTTTCACAGGCTGAGAAACACAGACTAGGGAGGGAAGAGATGTGTGAAGTCTGTGGTGACTGAATGGCAGAGCTGGAACAAGGCTCAGGTCCCCTAATTTACAATCCAGTGATTCACGTCCCACAATATAAACATGCCAATCAGCTGGTAAATAACAAAAAAATTGGAGCAATGGTCTGTTTTGTACCCTGGGAAAAAATACATTACTTATCGAAATTAACAACATTGGAATAAGAAACCATTTTTTACCTGTAGCAGTTTATCTGCAAGGTCAGCTTGTATTAGCCAATTGTACAGGGCAATACTGAAGAGCTCATCTTTGGATCGTTGACACAATTTAAGCATTTGTTCAAACTGAAATAAAGAAAGCAGGAAAAATTAGCACAGATCAAGGCTCTGCTGCCGGACGTCATGAGCCCTTGGCCTTGTTAACCCCTGGAAAGAACTGAGTATCCTTAAATGTTCTACGAGCACTTACTACCCTTCACAAGATGACTATGCTACCACTACCACCACACAGAAGTTCTAAGCACAATGTATTTCAGAGCGAAAAGACGCTGTCCCGTACGTGATGTCCTGCTTCCTCATTACTCAGCATGTTGGGGTCCGACGACAGCACAGGAGGCCCCGGTTTTTTGGGGACACTGGGAGACTGAGGAGCAGCCTTACTTTGATTCACCAGTTCTTGGAGTGTGTCTGTAATGCACTTGTAACTGTTTAGTCTGAAGAAGAACGGGAAAGGAGCAATTACGTTGATTAGACAGTAACTGATTTATCTAATTTTAAATACAAGAATTTAAAGGCTATTTTGGAGAATAAATATATGTATATATTTGGTATTAAAAGTAACAGAAATCATATAATTTTTCAGTAGGTTTGAGAAGCATTTGGTTAAACATAAAAGGTGATATCACAAAAGTGAATGTCTTAACGAAAACCATGTCTTAGGTAGAGTACGTATTTCCTTTATGGACATGGCACTTTATTTCTTGTGTGTTTGCTAATTCTCGAACATTTAAAAATCGTCCTTTAAAATAACATACTTCACCCAGAAGAACAGATCAGGAGGCAGGGGAGGAGCCAGTTTTGTTTCCGAGTGATCTCATTTAAAATGGACATGAACAAAGTCTCAGCAAAACCACAGAAGCAACTTCTAAAACATTTGTGAGTACTTAGGAATTTCTAGCAGATGAAAACTTTATCTGTAGGCGAGGAATTATAATCCTGATACAGGCTTTTAATAAAACCAGTCACTTTAAAGTGAAAGCATAGATTTTTTTAAAAGTGTGAAAGCATATCTGAACTTTATAAGCATTGTATTTGAAATACTACTTCCCTAATACTATCAATCAAACTTGACACACAGAGAAGTCTGCTAACATGATAAAACTTACCTTTCCTGGAAAGCCTGAAGTCCTATGACGTCTTCTTCTGGTTCTCCATGTTTATAGAAATGGAGTCCAAGACCCTGAGGGTCTTTCTTCTCAGCAGCCGTGAGAGAGAGCTCCACCACGCCCTCATAAAAACGCACTGATGGGAAAGACAAAGGACGAAGACTCAAGGTTTGCTATTAAGCTGGATATGTTTTCTCTTATCTGGCTTATAAAAATACCCATCAAATATTATTCGATTTCCCTTGCACATGAGTCACCCTGGTGACAATATCATATAAAATACTTCTTATGAGTTTACCACAGAACAAGGTCCCCAGAGAACAAGGACCTAACATGACTAAATGGCAGCTTTGAATATATTTTCTTCACTGGAAAAAACTTTTCTATTTAAAATAACAAACAGGATGCTCTAGTTTGTGTCAGTGAGCTGAGCTCTGGCCTGTGAACCCAAAGGACTCGGTTCGATTCCCAGTGAGGGCACATGCCTGGGTGGGGGGGCCAGGTCTCCTGCTGGGGGAGGGTACTGAGAGGTGGCGCTTCTGTCCCTCTTTCTCCTGCAGGTCAATGCTTCTGTCCCTCTTTCGCCCTCCCTTCCCCTCTCTCTAAAAATAAATAAAATCTTTAAAAATAATAAAAGAACAAATGGGAGAGTTAGAGTTAATTGTTGAAAAAAGTCTTGGGATTCAAAACAGTATCTTTTATATGAGTTATTACTTTTATGTTATGTTAGATTTAATTTTAAAGTAATTTTAAATTTGACTAGATAATATTTTACATCAGGTAGTATATTGATAATTAAACAAAAGCTTTTAAGCATTTTAAAATTAAATGTGACCGGGCAAGCAGTCTCATACAGATGGGAGTTTAACCGAACCAGGACTGAAACACCAACGGTAAAAAGGGTCACATCTGAAGACATAAAAAGGCACTACTGCTTTTGCGGAGGCCAGCGCAGTCGCCACAAAGTGAAGCACAAGCACTGAGTTTCCTGTGTCATGTACTTGGGCCAGTGAACTTGGAGAAGACTTGCCTCTGGGAAGAGGCTCTTCTTCATCACTAGCTCGTTTCAGTCACACAGTCATTTGTCCGCTTAGTTGAGAAGCTAGGAAGGACAGTCCTCACTGAGAGTCACTGTGGTTTCCTGCTTCGATGGCGCTTGAAAGAACCTGGTGCTCGACCCCCGTCCCAGCCAGCCGCCCAGATCCATCCTTCTGCCACTGCCTCAGGGCCTAGGAGCACCCCAAGGCCCCCGCCAACGCGCCAGTGCCCCGGAGCCGCCTGTCCTCAGCTGCCCATCATGACGACCATGTCCACCTCACGGGTGCGCCAGAACTGCCACCAGGACTTGGAGGCCACCAGCAACCACCAGGGTCAACCTGGAGCTCACACTCCCTCTGTCTACCTGTCCATGTCTTACTACTTTGACCGTGATGGAATAAGTGTGAACAGTCACTACTGGGCTTGCACAAACTGGCCACTGAAAAAAATGACCCTTATTTGTGTGACTTCACTGAGACACGCCACCTGGCTGGGCAGGTGAAATCCGTCACACAGCTGGGTGACCACGTGACTAACGTGCACAGGCTGGGGGCCCGAGCCCCAGGGCGGAGCATCTCTGTGACAAGCACACACCGGGACACAGCGAGGACAGCTCGGCCGCCGGCTGCCTTCCCACGGCCACGGCGGGAACGTCCCTGGTCACCAGAGCAGCATGTGCATGTCGGGGTTACCTTTCCCTTTCCTGGAACTTGTACCAAATCACCCACTTATGTCTCTCATTTGTGCCATTCCTTCAAATAAAGTAATCTGGAACAGAAGAGAAAAGAAGGAAGGATGTTTTGTTTCTCACCTTGTCTATACTGAGCACAAACATTGGAGAGGTCGACCTGATTGCTGATTTTCTGATACTCCTTCAGTGACTCCCTCAACATCCTTTCCTTCTCCGTCTTATTCTGAACTTGTCGGGAATGCTGGAGAAGCTCATTTGCCTAAAGTAGAAATGACAAGAACTTAAAAAGACATAAAATCAAGCATGCAGATGATGCTGTCAACGTAAGTTTTAGTCTACGTCTAAATGTACATCTGGTTTCTTATAATCAATAATAAAAACAACTCTACAAACTTACTTCTTCTTAATTTTACGCAGAAAAGTTTTTGACCAAACAATCCTAGCTATTCTTAATTCCTCTCACAAACATGTTAAGCAAGATAGCTCTTTGTCTGGCAAATCTCTTGCCTAATCAATACTTTATCGGTCAGCAGGCAGTCCACACGATACTGATTTTTTAAATTCCTTCCACCTGTAGGAAAGGATCAATAAAGATTGCCCAATTAACTCTGCTTCATTACAGACTTACTTTAGGTGTTAGAGATTTTCCTTAATTTCTAAGGAGAGGCATATTTAACCATCACCTTTTTTTTTTTTATTTTAAATATTTTATTTATTTATTTTGAGAGAGAGGAGAAGGGAGGGAGAAGGAGAGGGAGAGAAACATCGATGTATGAGAGGAACATCAATCAACTGCCTCTTACACGTTCCCAGCTGGGGGCCTGGCCCACAACCCAGGCATGTGCCCTGCCAGGGAATCGAACCTGCAGCCTTTAGGATCTCAGGCCGGCGCTCAATCCACTGAGCAACCATCCGGCCAGGGCAAACCATCATCTTTTTAAATAAGGCCTAGAAATTCTTTTTTTTAAAGATTTTATTTATTTATTTTTAGGGAGGGAAGGGAAGGAGATAGAGTTAGAGATAGAGATAGAGATAGAGATAGAGAGAGAGAGAGAGAGAGAGAGAGAGAGAGAGAGGGAGAGAGAGAGAGAAACATCAATGTGCGGTTGCTGGGAGTTATGGCCTGCAACCCAGGAATGTACCCTGGCTGGGAATTGAACTTGGGACACTTTGGTTCCCAGCCCGCGCTCAATCCACTGAGCTACGCCAGCCAGAGCCAGGCCTAGAAATTCTTTATGAAAAGAGTTTAAGATTCTTTTATGAAAAACTTAAATATATATGGATTTTAAGAAATCACGTATTCCCACCCCTTTCTTACACACATGAGGATTCTGTAGCCAGGAGAGGTTCGGAAACCTGTCAAGGTCACATACTGAGTGCAAAAAGGTGGCTCCTGATTCCAACTCTGGCGTGCTGTTCACCACACCACGGAAGCTCCTCTTCTGTAGGGGACTCGGAGGAGCTGACGGAGCACCGTACCTTGGAACAGACCGCATCATCAGTGCTGTACAGCAGCGGGCAGATGTCCTGCAAGTGCAGGCTGATGCCGTCGACAGCAGCATTATCTCTGATATAGCAGTTGATGAGGGAAGCAATTAAGGCCCCGGTCAGTTCTTTGTCCCGGATCACCAGGTCTTTAAAGGTGGTGATTTTCAACTGCTCTTGAAATTCCTAGGAGTGTAAAAAAACCTTTTCTTCTATCAAATATGTAAGAATATCATTTCCACACAGAATAAAATTTCTTTAATAATATAACCAAAACATAAACGGACTTTGTAATTGAAAAGAGAAAAGATACTAAAACTATACAAACTAACACACTTCTGAAATTCTCCCAGAGTCATACAGAATTGAAAAAGAACCCGCAGTACGTCTGGTTCAAATCTCTCACTTTACATACGAGGATGGCAGAGCCCAGGCAAAGCCGAACTCACAGCCAGGGCTCCTGACGGTAGTTATGACTGGACAAGAATAATCAATCAGCTGCATTAAAACATCTTGGGCTTCTGTTTTTTCCCTAAAATAGCGTCAGAATTCTGTTATTCAAGGCCTTCTAATGTTAAAGTTTAATCTCATGTTGAACAAATGTGCTTGGTAAAATAGAGTTCTCAATTACTGAGGCAACTGTAATTTATATTAGAGTAAAATGCTGAGTGATTTGACTGGTATTTTTTTATACATTTCAGCAAATACACTAGGTCCAAACTTTTGTACTACAATATAATTTGCATTCCTTAAGCATAAAAATTGTGATTCAAGGGACAGAGCTTTGAAGAGGGGTCCCCAGAAAGACGCCGAGGCTAAAACAACTACATTATGCTTATCACCCACTAAAATGTATTCTACTTGGTATGGAAAGGTTTTCATAATTAAACATTTTAGCTTGAGGGTTTTTTTTTGTATGTGTTTAAAAGAAATAAAATCAGCAATAATACAACTCTTCGGCCTTTACAGAAAAGAACTAGGGGAATGCCTTTTAACTTTAAAAATTGTACTTAAAAGTCAAGAGCTAAACATTTCAGGGCAACCAACAGTCCTGACGGGTAAGAGAACATTGTATTAATATGGAAGAAATCAGATTTGGGAAATTACCATTTTGTAACCCTAAATGAACTCAGCCATTCAGGCAATGAATGGCAAGGGATAAGGCAAGTCTGGTGGCGAGTCCCAACGGCAGCATTAGATTTACCATGTGAATCTGGCAGTCAACCTCAGAATCACTGAAGGCATAAGTAAACCTCCTGTGTCTCCTAGCAAACACAGCCTGACATACAGACCGCTACCTATGGAGCAATTTATACTTCCTTAAATAGATGCACCTGAACTTTAATCAAGCTTCCGTAGACTTCACTTCCATTTTCCATAAAAATGAAGGGAATAAAGAAACAAGTTAATTACGAGAAAGGTACAGACAACCTCCGAATGCCGGCTTTCCACAGGATCGATCGATCACCCAATATCTACAAGGCAATAATAGCAAGGGAAAAGAGCTCTAAACTGAAAGAGATGTGAGAGACACAACAATAAAATTCAATGAGTGAACCAACTGTTTAAAATGTGATTTGAGTGAACCCATCTGTAAAAAGGTATTTTTAAGCCAATCAGAGAGATTTCATTATTTCAGACGCTAACAAAGAACTGTTAATATTGCCGAGTGTGATAACAACATTATTATCCAAGGAAATGTCCATCTTTTTAAAGACGTACATACTTAACTACACAGGAATGAAATAACACGATGTCTGGATCTCATTTAAAATAATTCTATAAAGTAAAAGAAAAAAAGGATAGATTAAGCAAAGTTGGTAAAATCTTGAAAATGCTGAATACCAGTCAAGTATATATGAGGATTAGCTGTAGTATTGCTCTTTTTTCATATGTGTTTCAAAATGTTCACATTAAATAATGGGTAGGAACACATTCCCCCAAGTAAATTTGTCTAATACTTAGATGTGTGGAAGTTATCATTATTATTTAAAAGGATTCAAATGAGGACAGGAGGATAAATACGGACATTCATTTCCCACAATGGGAAGCATCTTTTTTTAAAGTATGAATGTTTAATTAAGGTTGATGGACTCCTTGAAATCACATGCAAAAACTTATGTATGTGACTGTATGCATTCTTTGAGGCTGAAAAGAGACAGTTTGATCAGATTCCCAAAAGGGCCTGCAGCCTACATAAAATTTACAATCTATTGTTTTATAAAACAAACCAGTTACTGCCAAAAAGTATTTCTGGCAAAGTAAGATTTCATTACCACACCAGCCAAAGCTCCCAAACATTGTGTAACCTCCTGACTCTGACGAAGGGAACCCCCCAATCTTCCGTGCAGTCTTCCTGTAACACTACAGCTTTATCGGAGCCTAACTGCTCCCCCACATAACCCCCTCCCGGGCCAAAGTGTAAGGCTAATGTTCACTCGAAAGGAAAACAATGAGGCACAAGATCAACAGCACGGTCTTCAGGGAACGGAAGCAGCCTACCTTCTGCAGTTCGCCTACAATGACAGTGAACTGGTGCTCACAGAGAAGTTTCCACAAAGCCAGAGCCTGGTATGATTTCCGGACCAACTGCTGGATCGCCTGAAGCGAAATCTTCTCACTCACTTGAGCCTCTGATTACAAAATGCAATTAATGAAGTTTTATAAAACGACACAGGTTGAGTGGCTTTATGTCAAGTAAAACAATACTTTACCCAAATGAAAACAACCCTCAAGGCGAGACGGCCACTGTCCGCCTCCCCCACCCCCACCACAGGCAGCCGTGAGCACACGCTGTGGAGTCTGTGTTTTCATCTTCTCAGGATTACACAGATGAGCACGTGTGTGTGTGTGTGTGTGCACTCAAACAGTAAAGACGTCTGTTTTTAGATCATTCATGCCAAGCTTTGTCCACCAGGTTACATTTCTGCAAACGATCCAGACTGATGCAATGTAAATCTAATACATTTTTTAAAATTGCTGAGTGTTCCGCCATGTGAGTACGCTACAATTAGGTACACGGTCCCGCTGAAGGACGTTTATATTTTTTTCTGTTTTCCTACTAAAACAGTAATAGCAATAAATACCCATAAAAAAGTTCTCCCAGAAAGTGCAGTCAGGTTTCTCTAGGACTGAGTTTCTTAAACCCTAGATGAGGACGCACTGGAGAGTTATAAAATCAACTCAGTCAGTTACGAAAGCTTTTTTCCTTAAAGAGGAAATAAAATAGAATAAAAAAGGAAAAAATATTAAGAGTGTAAGACAGGTAGTTATTTCCCAAATTTTTGTTTCAGTTGTATGTGTATGCTTTTATTTTTAAAAATGTATTTTATTGATTATGCTATTACAGTTGTCCCATTTCCGCCCTTCACTCCCCTCCACCCTGCACACCCCCTCCCACCCACATTCCCCCCTTTAGTTCATGTCCATGTGTCCTAAGTTCTTTAGCTTCTGTATTTCCCATACTATTCTTGCCCTCTATGCTACTTATTCTCTGTACCTTTCCCTCATCCTCACTGATAATCCTCCACGTGATCTCCATTTCTGTGGTTCTGTTCCTGTTCTAGCTGTTTGCTTAGTTTGCTTTTGTTTAAGGTGTGGTTGTTAATAACTGTGAGTTTGCTGTCTTTTTACTGTTCATATTTTCTATCTTCTTTTTCTTAGATAAGTCCCTTTAACATTTCATATAATAAGGGCTTGGTGATGATGAACTCCTTTAACTTGACCTTATCTGAGAAGTGCTTTATCTGCCCTTCCATTCTAAATAAAAGCTTTTCTGGATAGAGCAATCTTGGATGTAGGTCCTTGCCTTTCATGACTTGGAATACTTCTTTCCAGCCCCTTCTTGCCTGTAAGGTCTCTTTTGAGAAATCAGCTGACAGTCTGATGGGAACTCCTTTGTAGGTGACTGTCTCCTTATCTCTTGCTGCTTCTAGGATTCTCTCCTTCATTTTTACCTTGGCTAATGTGATGATGATATGTCTTGGTATGTTACTCCTTGGTCCAACTTCTTTGGGACTCTCTGAGCTTCCTGGACTTTCTGGAAGTCTATTTCTTTTGCCAGATTGGGGAAGTTCTCCTTCATTATTTTTTCAAATAAGTTTTCAATTTCTTGGTCTTCTTCTCCTTCTGGTACCCCTATAATTCGGATGTTGGAACATTCAAAGATGTCTTGGAGGTTCCTAAGCCTTTCCTCATTTTTTTGAATTCTTATTTCTTCATTCTTTTCTGTTTGGTTGTTTCTTTCTTCCTTCTGGTCCACTCCATTGATCTGAGTTCCTGTTTTCTTCCCATCACTATTAGTTCCCTGTGCACTCCCTTCATTTCACTTATCGTAGCCTTCATTTTTTCATCTAATTTGCAACTAAATTCAACCAATTCTGTGAGCATCCTGATCACCAGTGCTTTGAACTGTGCATCTAATAGGCTGGCTATCTCTTGGTCACTTAGTTGTATTTGCTGTGGAGCTTTGGATCTCTTCTTCCTTTTGAGCCATTTTTTTTGGCGGGGGGAAGGGGGGTCTGGTTGTGCCTGGTACGTAGTGAGGGGCAGAGTCTTAGGTGTTCTCCAGGGCAGGGCAACCCACATCGCTGGGCTGTGACGCTATATGTGAGGGAGGGGTCCAAGAGGGAATAATAGTGCTTGCTCTGCTCTCTGTCGGATTTCAGTTCCCTCTGCCGCTTCCCTCAAACAAACTAGGCCTTTCTGGTGCTGGTTCCCAGGTGGGTGGGCTTGTGCACATTCCAGGACCCTGTGTGTCTCTCCAATGAACTCTCCTGTGAGGCTGGGAGTCTCAACCCCCACAAGTGTTTTCAATCAGTGCTTTTAGGCTTTATTTCCCGGCGCCGGGGCCCTGGGTTGCGTGGTCTGTCTCGCTGCCCGTTTTCACCTGGTTTATCTGTGTGAGAATGTGTGACTGTAGACAGCTAGCTGCCTTGCACACGTCACTGGGTCTGCTAGCCGCCACCTGTGCGCCTGGGGTCTGCCAGCCACCGCTTTTTCCTGCCGTGGTCCCTCTCCGCCAGCCACTGACTCAGCCCCTCCTACTGGTCTGGATGAATGGTTGTCAGACTTCCATACAGTTCAATTTTCTGTCTGTTCTGATTGTTTTTTTGTTTCTAAATTTTTGTTGTCCTTAATTTTGGTTGTGCGAGGAGGCATAGTATATCCACCTACGTCCCCACCTTGGCCAGAAGTCCTGTGTGTATGCTTTCAAATGTCTGGGTCATAATGTAAAATGTGTTTCCGACTGTGAGAGAAAAGCCTGACCGACTGACTGTTCTCGGGTGTATACCTGGAAGTGGAATTGCTGGCTTTGCGTATATGTGCATTCTAAGCTTTTGCTAGGTATGACCAAACTGCTCTACAAAGCAGTCATTTCAAAGAATATCACCTGCAATTTGAACACTGCTGCTTGTGCTTGCAGTGTGAGGCTTACAGCCTAACCGAAGTATTGAAAAAAAGAACATACAAAACAGTGAGCAGAAACCAAGGGAAGAAGGGAAGAAAGTATCTTGGGACAAAAGTAAATGTCTGGGTCTTAATTAGCCAAGTTCAGTCAGCCAGAATAATTGGCTTAAACAATAAATAGAAGACAAAAAAAATCTTAAAAAAAAATTGAATTACGGGCAAAATTTAAACAATATTATTATTCCAATTCATATCTGGGATAATTGATGACTATGAGAACTTTTTGATTCCTCTTTCTTTAGTTGTTACTACTTATAATGAAAAAAAAAACACAAGAAAAACTTGATTCACATTTTTAACTAAAAAAGTGTTGCTAATCCTTAGTAAGAAGCAAATCACAGCACAATGATACTATTTCACACCCATTGGAATGGGCGTAAAAACCACTGAACAGCTGGCACAATGTGGAGAAACTGACCCCCTTTGTGCACCACTGGTGGAAATGTGAATGCTGCATTTGTGATAGAAAACAGTATGTCAGCTCCTCAAAAAAACTGAAAATACAATTACCACATGATCCAGAGGTTCTACTTCTTGGTATGTAACAAAAAAAATTAAAAGCAAGGACTCAAATTTATATTTGTATGCCATGTTCATAGAAGAATTTGTTCAAAATGTGCCAAAGGTGAAACCAATCCTAGTATCCACTGGGATGAATGGATAAACAAAATGTGGTATTATACAGTGGAGTATTATTCAATCTTCGTAAGGAAGGAGGTTTTGACACGAGCTACAACATGGATAAACTTTGAAGACATTACGCTCCGTGAAATAAGCCAATCACAAAAGGGTAAACACTGTATGATTCTAGTTACAGGAGGTACTAAGATTCAGAGCTGGGAAAACAAGAATGGTGATTGTCAGGGACTGGGCAGGGTAAAAGGGGAAGTTATTGTTTCATGGGTACCGAGTTTCAGTTTGGGAGGCTGAAAAAGTTCTACAGATGGATAGTGGTGATGTCTGCACAACGTGAATGCACGAAATGCCACTAACCTATACACTTAAACTTGGTCATAAAGGTAAATTTTATGTTATGTTTACTTTACAATAAAAAACTCACTTAAAAAGGTGTGTATCACGTACTCTGAGGAGGACGGGAAAAAAATTTTAGGGCTGAAAGTTATGGAAATACATGAGGTCCACATTGCCCCCCTTTCTTCAATCACACAGATATTTCAATAAAAAAAAACTGTTACCACAAACTAGATCTTACTGAGAGATGCGCATTATGTCCAATGCAACTACTAAACTCTTTACTACAGTCATGTACATTTAAGTGATCAGAAGTAACAATTACCATGCAATTTCCTCTGCAGCTCCTGCTGCATCTGTTGGGTATTTCCGTTCTCAGGACGCATGAACCCCGTCAGCCTCTGCTGCACTTTGGCGGCGGTACTAAAACAGAAAGTCCAGAATGGGCATTTGTGTCTTTCACAGTGTTATTGCGACATAACTCATGTGCTACACAATTCAACAACTTAAAGTGTACAACTCATAGGGCTGCACAGTTATCACCTCACCCTAATTTCAGAACACTTCCCACTAGCAGTCAATCTCCTCTTCCCCTCTGTCCCACCCCTACCCTGAACGACCATCCATCCAGACACTTTCTGTGTCTCCAAATTGGCCTTTTCTGAATATTTCATATAAATGAACTGGAATGTGTTGTAAATATTTTTCCCTTGTAGATTAGTGAAATAGCACTGACAAATCGATGATGTTTTAAAACTGGAAGCACTGTAATTTCTTAGATGCTTCAGGTTTCACTGAGTAGATGGAGGGTAACAATACCTTCTTTTTACTGAGCACTTGCTTCTTGCCTGTCCCTTTAATTTAATGCAACAATTCTGCAGGTAAGTACAACTAAGAATTCCATCTCACATGAGACAGCTTTAGGACAAAAATAAAAAGCAAAGAATCTGCTATAAGAAAATACTGACCACGAAGGGAAATGAGCAAATAAAAGCATTTTGAAAAGATCATTGAACTTTCAGGAGAAGGTTCTATTTGGTGACCAATATTCAGTGAAATGAAGGTTAAGATTTTAAACTTCAAAAGTGTGAGACTACTAAAGCTATAATGGGGACGTTGTAGGAGAAAGCAAGTAAGCGGTTATATCAATGTTGTTAGAAAATAAGATTTTGAGGGTAAAAGCAATACAAATATACCCTAAAACAATTTATAGACAGTGAAATACTCTGTATTTGTAAATCTGAACCCAAACCATAGTACAACTCACAATTTTGTTTTATTAAAAAATAAAACCAGAACAACATACGGCTTGACAGGAGCAACGAAGAGCCCTAGCTATAGTCTCCAACACCCTTTCCTCCAAAAGAAACCAGGGCCCATGGGAGAAACGGCTGAGTACAGGGCGATGGCAGGAACTGTACCAAAGGAGCCTGGGAGGTCTTATCACACCAGGAAGCAAAGAAGCTATCAAAGACTGTTGTCAAAATGATGCAAGAGCAATCTGAAGGGGCAAAATATGGAAAAATTTTGCAATAAAAAAAAAACCTGCAACAGGCTGAAACATTAAAATCGTAGGCTGATGATGCTACCAAGTAAAAACCTCCCCTGTCAGCAGTGGCTGAGCTGGAGGGAGCCTGCCGTGGCCCCTCTCACAGGCTACAACGCGGAGCCTTGCACCCGACACGGAGAACTGCTCCCACTGAGGCGGCTCCACAGAGCCAGGCAGACGAGTGGGAACCGACGGGTGCTAAGGACTAGGCGTTTGTGTCCCGCCGCGTTCCTGTGTTGAAGCCCTACCCCCAGAGTAATGGCATTTGGAGGTGGGGGCTTTGGGAGCTAATCGGGTTTCGACGAGGCCACGGAAAGGGAGCCCCATGATGAGATCGGCACCCTCATGAGAAGGTTCCAGAGAGCACGCGCTCCCGTTTCTCCTCTGCCATCTGAGGACACAGAAAGCAGCAGCTGTCCCTGAGGCAGGAGTGGCGACCCTGCCAGAACCTGCACACGCTGAACCTGACCTCAGACCTCCAGCCTACACATGATGGGAAACCAACGTCCGCTGTGTCGGCCGGCCCATGGTGTGTGGTTCCTCCAGCCCGAACTAAGGCAGGGCGTGTCTGCCCGCGGGTAGAGGGTTTCTTTCCAGCGTGATGAAAACGTTCTGGAGTCAGACAGTGGTGGCTGATGACCGCATAGCCTCGACAATATACTAAAACCCACTGACCTGTATATTTTGGAAGGGAGAATTTTATAATATGTGAATTGTGCCTCAGGGGAAAATGAGTAAAGAAATCCTATTTATTCTTACTTTGGATTTCCTAACGGCCCTCCTGCAAATTGGGAGTTTCTGTCCAGAAATTCTTGCAAGCCTTTCAGTTCTTGTAGCACTGACTCCAGCATTTGGGAGGGAACACTACTTTCAATCTGGTAAAAAAAAAAAAAAAGTAATTTTAAAAGTTTAAAACAGTGACAAGGTGTATATATAGAAAACATACTCTGCATTTCTATACCTGCACATAAATGTTAATTTTGAAGTACCCTAACTTCATGACCAGTAAAGATATTTCTTATGTCAGTTCACACTTGGTGACCAGAATGAAGGGCTGGGTACCTCACCCCTCCTCTCTTACTCTGGTTTGATTTTGATATAATTTACAGACAGTGAAATACACAAATCTTAGGTGACATCTTGTTGACTTTTTACATTTTGATACAGTCACAGCCAGACCACAACAGAGAATATTTTCAACACCCAGCAAAGGTCCCTACTGCCCCATTAATCATTTCATCCTGCAGGTAACCACTCTTCTTACCTCTATCATCACTACAGAGCAGTGTAGCCTGGCCTTGAACGTCATATAAATGAAATCATACTATGAGAAGTAAACACATGCTTATTCTTAGAAATGTGAACTTACAGAGTATCGGAGTTGCAAAGATATTTGGTATCTTTTCATTTTAAAGGGAAAATGCTTAAAATAAATTGCGTTCATATTCCACATTCATACAAATCTTACTACCTGAATTCATGATGATACAAAGTCCTACAAGATGCTTTCTCAAAGTACTCTAGAATACAGGCAAATTAGAATACGTGGAAATTAGTACTGGGTCCATGGACTTTTGGGTATATAAACAAAATATTTAAATAGTAGTTTTGAGCAACATTAAGTATTGGGACTTACTCTAACCCTCACAAGAACCTTATGAAGGAGATACACCATCCTCATTTTACAGGGGAGTATCAGGCTCTGAAATGTTAAGAAATTTACTCGCCTGTTAGTAAGTGTCAGAGCAGAGACTTAACCCAGGAACTGGACAGTGCACTGGACAAGTACGCAAACACACACATGAGAGAATACTATCACTGCGCCCTGTCTATACCACCAGGAAATGTGAAACCACACACTCGTCCATGAAGAGCACACCCTGGTCCCGTACAAGTGGCAGCCACCACTGCACAGCACACTCACCGCGGTGATCTCTTTGTTGCCGCTCCTGAACACCCTCTCCACAACTAAACTGGCATCCCAGATGTTTCTGGAACAGAAACGTTATCGTAATTAGGCTGAGGATGAATAAAAATAATTAAATATGGAGTATATTCCTTTCTGTGTGTTTGTTAAAATGTAGCAATGGTTTCATTGACCATTTTACCATGTTAACTGAAAAAAAAAAAAAAAAGAAGGAAAACAGGAAAATTTCAAAATCTGATAAATCTAAGTTATTTAACTAAATAAAATACTGTTGAAGAAAAATCAGAAGGCTTTGGGTAATGAATTGTAAACCAGGAAGCTAATAATGCAAAACCAAATTTACAAAGGGGTTCTGCACAGTTTCAAAGTTTTAAACAAATAGAAGGAAAGCACATATCTCAAACCTAAGAAAAATATGTACTAGGCATGATAACTAACTAGGTAACAAAGTAGACTGATTGCAAAAGTGGCTGTTACTCTTTATCCCTCCTTACACCCACCCCTGTTACAATATGCCTTTGATGCTGCTCTCATAATGAGGAGGCTATTTCCCACCTCGTGCATCTGGGTTGGCCACATGAATGAGGTGGACATGGTGGTAGGACAATTCTGAGAAGAGGCATCACGAGGCTTTGCAAGTTCTGCTCTCTCCATCACAGAACCCTGCTACCACCAGGTGAGCAGTCCCTGGCCAGCCTGCCGGGGGATGCGAGGCCACGTGGAGAATGACCCAGCTAAAGGTGACATAGCTGTCTTCAACCTCACGTCTGACTGCGCATGCACAGGTGAGCCTGGCCAAGCCCAGAACTTTCCAGCTGACTTGCAGACACAAGTCACTGAGTCATGGGGTGGTTTTAACACTACATATAATATGTATAGAGATACATTTTAAAGATACATAAAATACAGATGGTTAGATAACAAAAAAGCTGAGTGAGGGAAAACAATCAATGGAAAGGGAACTAAAATTCGGGTACAATTTAACAGTAATAAGTGATGTCCCAAATATAGAACTAAAAATATTCCATGCCACAAACTAGGCTAAGGTGAGCAACAGTCAATTGGTCCGTGGAAAACTTACCCCATGATTCGAGAAAAGTAAATGCATATGCCGTTGTGTTTTCCAGAGTACACAATCTCTGGTCCCGCCATGTAGCCCAGACTTGGGGCTGGAACTGCCGGACTTCCTGCCGCAGGCATTGGGGTGGACATGACGGGAGGGTGCATGCCTTGGGCACACAGAGAAAAACAAACCTTACCACGCAAGCAGACACGTGGAGAATTCCCCACAATCCCAGTCTGCGGAATCTAGACCCGCAGGAATAAATTATTGGAATAAACAGATAAAGAGAGGCTTAGACTTAAATGGCTTCTCCCAGGCAGGCTGTCAAGTACTGGCAATGCAAGCTGAAAAGGAAAGACAGCTTGCAGTCGCTGCTCCTTAATGACTGAAGTGAAAGTGAACCAATCACACAGATTTCTGGGCTGGCGATTAGATCTTGGAATCCAAATAAGGGGCTTTCCAGGGACTACTAAAGGTGCTCCTAAGGCATTCACAGCCAAATGCCTGTACTGTCCTGGATGTCACTTCTATCAAATTACCTTTGAAAAAACATTTTATTTATTTATTTTTAGACAGAGGGGAAGGGAGGGAGAAGGGAGGGAGAGGAACACCGATGTGTGAGAGAAACGCTGACTGGGCGCCCCTGGCACGCCCCATTCAGGAATTGGGCCCACAACCGAGGCACGTGCCCTGACCGGGAATGGAACCAGCGACCTTTTGCTTTGCAGGACGACGCTCAACCAACTGAATGGGGCAAGCTGATCTTTTCCACACCAAGCATCAAAGGTAGGTCACAATGTTAGCTCTTCGAAAGGAACAGTAGCAGTCATAAAAAAAGAAGAGCAAAAACAAAGAAAAAGAGAAGAGGTACCTTGAGACGGTGTTCCCAAAAAGGATGGATTTGGATACAGACCACCACTAGGAAGAGGAGAACCTAGAAAGGAGATAAGAATATAAGATTTGTAAAGTAACTCCCAATTTTTGAGTCTGATCAAAATTAGACACAGAAGCGGTTCCTAAGCATCCGAGTGTGCAGCGGCGCCACTCCTGATGTATCCACCAGGCGGGGACTCCGCGCATCCCCCCGCGATCTCCCGACAGTCCCCGCGTTGGCAAACACTGCGGAGGACGTCTGTTTATTATTACATCATCCATGTCCTTCCTTCTGAATAAGTAGCAAATGAGTTCTGTAAATACTACAATGGTTACATCTTATTTTGTTCCCTAATATACAATAAGAACTCATCACTTTTAAGAGTCAGATACCTTTAGAATTATTCACCAAAAGAGTAGAAGTAAATATAGTGAAGAGAGTTGTCCCTTAAAGTATGCCACAAGGTTTCTCAAATGCAAACTCTATTAAAAACGGCTTCATTCAACGCGTCATACTCACTGGCATAGACAGGAGACGCCAGGATGGGACCAACATTACTTGGGGTGGGCAGAGCGGTTGGAAATCTCATCTGAGCTTCACCGCCGTACCTATTTCGCAAGAACACAGACTTAGTTTGTTCAGTGAAGCTATTCGCCTTAAAAGCTGGAATTGTTCCAAGTCCTACTTAGCTCTCAAAATAAAGCTTTAAACATTAGAGACTTGAATTCATTGTGTTTGCAGTGTAACAGAGTGGGGGAAAAAAGTAGATTTAGAGTTGTGAGTACACAGAGAGTTTATTCTTGTAATATTACTTATTAATTACTGTATTAGTATTTGTATTACAACTGCAAACCCACTTTTGCCCCATCCTATATATAGATACATTATAGAAAACTAATTCAGTGAAAGTTGACTTGGAATTCTACCAGGAAGTATTATAAGGAACTGGCAATTTCTGAAAAACAGAGAGCAAGCCCTGACTGGTGTGGCTCCGTTGGCTGGGCATCGTTCCACAAAGCGAAAGGTCGCCAGTTCGACTCCTGGTCGGGGCACACGCCTGGGTTGCAGGTTCGATCCCCAGTTGGGGCGTGTGCCAATGGCAACTGATGGATGTTTCTCTCCCTCTCTCTCCCTCTAAGAATAAATAAAATCTTTTTTTTTAAACACCTGCTCTTTTTACTGATGCTTCTTAATATTTGACTTCTTTTTCTTTTTTTAAAGATTTTATTTATTTATTTTTAGAGAGGGAAGGGACGGAGGGAGGGAGAGGGAGAGAGAGAGAGAGAGAGAGAGAGAGAGAGAGAGAAAGAGAAACAGAGAAACATCAATGTGCGGTTGCTGGGAGTTCTGGCCTGCAACCCAGGAATGTACCCTGGCTGGGAATCGAACCTGGGACACTTTGGTTCCCAGCCCGAGCTCAATCCACTGAGCTATGCCAGCCAGGAATAGAATAAATAAAATCTTAAAAATTATTTTAAAAAGGTCAGCAAGGCATAAAGTTTACTTAATGAGTACATGGTATTGTAATTTTCATACTAGAGTATGATTAGAAGGTATCTTTAAAACTTCTTTTAAACTAATCACGTCTCAAATTCTTATCCTTAGCTAAAAAGTTTCCAAGTAAAATATCTTTTTGATACTAAGTTTCCTTGGAGAGATTCAGAATCCTTTAGCACCAATGACAGGCGTAAAGCAGAAGTGATGCAGCGTTTGGGGAAATAAAAACAGGGACAAGAGGGCAGCCGAGGCAGGAAGACGACGAGACAGAAGAGTGGGTGACGGCATCAACTGCCGCTTCCTTACCATTACCATCTTCCCAGAGTTCGCCTTTTCGAAAATGCATTTCACCTCAACTGTTTGGCAAGCCCTTAAACTATCCCATTCTCCAATGCAGCCACTGAAAAGAGTGGCCAAGGACGAAAGACAACCGTCACGCACCTGAAGAAAGCCCGAGTAGCCCAGGCAGATATTTCTCTGTCACAGGCCGCGGTGGAGCAAGCAAGGATAAGGCAAGTTGCACAAGCCTGGTCTTCCTGTGGAAAAAGAACATCTTCCCTTATATTAAGCATAAACATTTAAGAAGAAGTTTTGTTTAATGCTGTATCCAGAGATTAAATCTGTGCCAAGCATGTAGTTGGGCTCAACAAATGTTTGCTACCTGAATGGTATCGGCTGACATGAAAAGGGAAAAGCAAACACTATTAATATCAGTACATGTACAGTGGTTGATGTAAACCAAGAAGGACTGGTAAGGTTCCCTGTTAATTACAGTATTGTTGGTCTTAACATTAAATTCAGCTATCTTTCCCATTTTCTTATTCAAATTAACACCACATTTGAAAAACAGTACAAACAGTTACCTGATGTAATTTGAAGAATCTTTCAATCTCGTCTCCGTCTCCGCCCACATTACTCACGAGCAGATGCCGCAGCTGATCTACGGGTCTAAGTTTATGAAACATCAGACTCCCCTAAGAAGTTTAAAAAAAAAAAGGAAGGTGAATTAATAAATTGACCAAGTTTAGCTGGCGAAAACTGACCCTGTTATTTTTATCTAATAAAATCAATAAAACAAGCAAACAAAAAAAATAGCTTCAAGAATACAAAGCACACTGATGAAACAGAGCACCTCCAGGCTATCTCCTGGCGCGTACCAGATCTGTGTGCCCTGAAAACAAGCAAACGAGAAAGCACTGCGCTGGCAGACACGACCGCACCAGCGCAGCCTGTGCTCTCACTGTGAACAAACACCCCCATGTCATCTTCCTGAAAACAAGCGAATGAGAAAGCACTGCGCTGGCAGACACCACCGCACCAGCAGATGCGACCGCACCAGCGCAGCCTGTGCTCTTGCTGCGCACAAGATGAAGGTTTGCACGGTGTTATGTCTAAGAGAGCCGGCACCTTTTTACTTATCTTTATTTTTTTTTTGGCAGAGGTGTTTCCTTATTAATTTAGAAAGTTCTGTTACAGGGTCAAGTTAATACTAGAATTTAGACCGTGATAAAAGCTCCCCCTCAAACCAGAAGATTCAAGTGAGATTATCCATTCATCATATTGGCACAAGTACGTTCATTTAGAAAAAAAAGTGAAGCTGGATTCTTATTTATATCTTACACCAGGATAAATTCCAAATAGGTCAGAGATTTAAAGGACAAAATAAAATTATAAACACACTAAGAAATTATGGGTGAATTCTTTAATGAACCTCAAAGTGAGGAGTTTGTTTTTTACTATATAAATTCCAAAAGATAACTTGAAAATTTCAACCGCTTGTAAATTTATCCGTATGGAAAATTCTTAATAGATAAAATCAAATGACAAACTATAAAAACTCAAACTATATAACACCACAAAAAGTTAGTGATACACAAAGAGTTTCTGTAAATTAGATAAAAAAGACAATTCAATAGAACAGTAGGTACAAAATAGAAACAGACAGTTCACAGAAATTAAGCCCTTAAAGTGACAGTCAGTCTGACTCCTTCTAGGCTGGCATGTTGTACTCGGACACGGTGTAAGGGAACAGGCGCTCCCCATTCACCAACGGCGAGTGCGTGCGTGTACACCGGGACACCTGGCAACACCTGTCCACATTACAACGCACACACTCTTTGGCCCGGCAGAGGCAATTCTACATGCAACATGATACAGGCACAAGGCTGGAGAATTACTCTTAACAGCAAAGATGACCCATTAATAGAGGCCTGGTTAAATACGGTACACCCACATAAATGAATCCCTTTCACTCATAAAACAGAATGGTAAAGTCTTTCTATACTGGTATGGAAAGGAGCTCTACAGCGTATCTCTGAAGTGTGAAAAGCAGAGTGTAATGCAGTGCACACAACGCGCTACCACTTCTTTAGAAATGTGTGTGTATTGTTTGTAGACTGGGACGCATCTCTGGGAAGAGGCATAGACGCCGTGGGCCTGTGGGGGAGGGGCCTGAAGTGGGAGGGAGATGGCACTTGGTCCAGCCCTGGTTACACCATTCCAATTTTGTCAGTGCATTACTACTCAAAAAAATAAATGTTAGGTAAAATTTTTAATTATTTAAGTGAGAACGAGACAAAATAAACTCAGTTTACTTATTTCATGCTACTGAACACTGGTGGTAGAAGAGCTACCTTAGAAATATAACATCATAAAAAGCAAGTTCTCTTTGTTGAATGTTTGGGATTGACAAACTACTTCTTGCTTAAGAACGTTCCAAGAGAAAACATCCCCAAGTACTCAGGTGCACGACTCCGCCGAGCAAGCACTGCGGGACACACCAGCACCGACCGCCGCCTCTCTCTGCCTTCGCCGCCACCGCGTGCGTGCCCACCCGCACCGCGTGCGCCCACCCGCACCATGCGTACCCACCTGCGCCGACAGAAGCACGAACTTCTTCGGGGGCAGCATGTGCTGCTGCACGACGACCGGCGAGTCAGTGATCGGGACGTGGTCCTTGTTTAAGGGCGTGATTATTTTATCCACTTTCAGTTCGTCTATTGCAGAGAGAGCCCAGGAGTGGCCATCCACACGGGTCGTCGTCTACAGAGCAGAAATCGACTTTTTATGCTAACACTACTGATAACATTGGTATACACAGCATTAATCTTTATGGGTCACTGAGTTACGAAAATAGAACTAAATCTCTTTACATTTTCCTATAGTATTAAGGAAAACCTTTAAAATGAAAAGATGTACAGACTTCACCTGAAGTTAAACATAGGATTTAATAAATTAGTACATTAACAAATATCCTCAAAAGTCTGTATTTAATTTTCTACCATCTAGTTCTTTCAGTCAGGCATCCTCTACTGTAACAATCTATCCATACCAAAGGATAAAGGCAAAATTTCCCCGAGATAAACTCTAAACAGTGTTTACCAGAACCCCAGTTCCTTCTCTAACCAGAGACTTCCTCTCACCCACCACCTCTCCAGGGCAGGCCGACCTGCACTGGTGGGCTCGGTGCTTAGATTTTGCCGACATGTAGATCTGCTCTCTTCTGAAGTTGTATTTGTTTTCTAAGCTATTTCTTTTTTTAAAAAAAGTCTTTTAATCTCTTAAAATACTTAGGGAGGTCCTGTGGTAACTATTATAGACGAGGAAACTGAGGGCCAGAGACGTGTGAAGTCCTTTGAAGCACAGCTTGGAGGGAATGGAGCCAGAACTCTGCACCCCATCAGGACAGGGTTTGTATTAGGTTCTGAATCCTCTGTCTATCACAGGATGAGACACACAGCAGGTGCTCAGTAAAGTCCAGAGAGTAAAGGAAAGAATTCGAGAAAGGTGCTCCTTGCCTCCTCACCAACCTTCGGCCCCTACCCCAGCAACTTGGTCCACGTCAGCAACTTGGAAGAGCCCATTTGAACCATGCATCCATCCCCTGGGGCTGGGTTCTTCCTCCTCCCATCTACACACCTTCTCCCACTCGCCCTAACCAGAAGGGCTTATGCTGCAGAATAACCAGAAGGCCAGTGACAGCTGGAACCAAAATGCCTTTACAGAAATGGCTCCAAAGGTATCAGACATTCACACCCTAGTTGGAGTTGGTTAATCTGGTTTGGCTAGCACCTTCTGGGGGCAGGCAGCATGGACTGTGCTGGGGCATCTGGGAGGACAGAGAGGGGTGGGACAGGGCACACTAAGGGGGGGGAGCTGATGGCCCTCCCCTCAGGTCCTCATGGGTGGGGATGGGTCACCCAGCTGTGGGGTTGGGGTAGGACAGCTGGGGACACACACGCTCCTCACCAGAACCTCTACATCATGGGGTACATGGCGGTGTTCACTTTTAAAACACAATTATGTGCTTGTGTGTGCACACTTGGTACGTGGGGAAGAGGGAAGAAATAAGATGGGGGAAGTGTTGATAATTCCCTAATGTGGGCTTCAAGTCACCATTTGCTCTGCTCTTGGGTCCATTTGAACATTTCTATAAGTAAAATTTTTTTTAAAATTTAGGGAAAACAATTAACTATAGAGATCATTAGAATAAAATTCTGGCATAACTATAATGGGTGGCCTCATAATAACTAAAAATACGATACACTTAAATGGGACAAAGACAATTTCTAAAAAGATACATGCATTTTCAGGTATACTAAAAAAAACATTCTACAAGGGCTTCAATGTTTATTTTAAAGAGAGTTTCAATGATTACTGTGACTTCTAACATCACAGAAGAAAAATAAAGAATAGAATATACTTTTTCCAATATGCTTTCTAATCATATGAGGTTTTTTAAATAAGCAAACAGTAATAAATCAGAAGATAAAGTTTCTTACAATTATATTCTTCACTTAAAGCAATATAAAAAGTTCTATACAATTACCCTGACAATTTATACCTGGGTTTCCATCATTGGCTTTTGGAAAGGAAATGTGTCATGGTTGACACACCACAAAATGTCATTGTCTTCATTTTCTGAGGCTGTCATCAGTAGAACACCTGATGATTTAATACACAAAATATTAGGATGCCAAATCATATGCACCCCAAATATTCTTAACAATATTAATTATTAACATTAATATACATATAGCATTAATTGTTACAGGTAAGCAAGTTACAAAGTAAAAACTAAAAGCAGAACGCCTAAAAGTTTAATACACAAAATCTTATGATGCCAAATTATATGCATCCCCAATAATCCTAACAGTAATTAATAACATTGATATATACAGCATTAATCATTATAAGTAAACGAGATACAAAAATAAAACTAAAATCCCCTAAAAGGACATAAAATTTTTTGGTAGGGTAGGATCATTAAATGTTCCAGATCTTATACTGTATTCTTTCAAGTAAACACTTATTTTCTCATTTTAACATTTCTTTCTTTTTTTTTTTATAAAGGTTTTATTTATTTTTAGAGAAAGGGGGAGGGAGGGAGCAAAAGAGGGAGAGAAACATCAGTGTGTGGTTGCTTCTCCTGCACCCCCTACTGGGAACCAGGCCTGCAACCCAGGCATGTGCCCTGAATGGGAATTGAACCAACAACCCTTTGCTTCGCAGTCCGGCGCTCAATCCACTGAGCTACTCCAGCCAGGGTCACATTTTAACATTTCTAAAGTTAGAATATATTTTACCATCAATGAATTTATCAGCTTAATTATTAGCTTTAAAACACATGTGTAATATACAAAAAATGCTGTGACCTATAATTAATATCTAATATTCAGAAAGTAGAGTTCACATATTGGTTAATTCAAATACATCATAAATAATAATGATGAAGTTTGCAATGGAACAGCAGAGATAAATACACTATAAAAGCATTATCTCAGCAACACTAGCTGACGTTGCAGCTTAATTTTGAAATATATTCTCCTGTGTTCAATTCTAGCTCTTCCCACTAACTTGCTCTCTTTACACTGACTTTAGTGGTATCAGTCTGAAGTCCACTGGATAGCTGTAGGTGATGGGACCATAATTAATTAGTAAAATGTATAACCAGCTTGTGAAAAACTAACAGTAATGTATATCAAGGTGGTAGAAAAAGGTTTCTTAAAATTTAGCATATAAAAGTTTGAAGAACTTCAATTTCACTGTATCATGCACATAACTAAAACCAAAGTAATTTTTCTACAATACACTTCTAGCTTTAAAACTTAGTGTATTCCCTTGGCTGGTGTGGCTCAGTGGATTGAGCACCAGTCTGCGAACCAAAGGGTCGCCAGTTCGATTTCCAGTCAGGGCACATGCCTGGTCCCCAGTAGGGAGGGCATGTGAGACAAAAATCACGCATTGATGTTTCTCTCCCTCTCTTTCTCCCTCCCTTCCCCTCTGTCTAAAAATAAATAAATAAAATCTTTTTAAAAATAAAAATCTATTTAGGATAGCACCAAAAAGAATACTTAGGAATGCATTTAAGAAGTGCAAGATTTATACACAGTATAGTGTACACATATTCTAAGAAATTAAAGGTGTAATAAAAAGATATCCCATGTTTATGGATTTGATGACTTAACATTGTTAAAATGGTAATATCCGCCAGGGTAATCTACATTTTCAACTATCAAAATCCCACCTGACATTTTTGAAAAAACTGACAAACAATAAATATTTCTGGCATTACTGAACTATTCCATGTACCCAAGAGGGCGCGAAGACTACTACCTCTAGAGTCTTTCCTTCTGCTAGCCGAAAGAAAGAACTGAGCCTTCATCTCGCAGTTCCCCGACGCCTGTCTATTTCCACAGTACAATCAGGTAAGAGAGACATGATCAATTAAAGCTGACATAACTTTTTAAAAATATAAAACTGTTTAAATGTACAAAAAAAAAGGAAAGAAAAAGAAAAGATAACATTGACAAATGGGTTCTAAAATCCATATGAAAATGTAAGAGTCAGACAGTCAAAACAATCTTGATAAAAAAAGGAAAAAAATCAGTTAGAATTTAAAAACTTACATCTGAGAGAGCGTAATTCATACTGAGTTACTGGTATAAGGACAGACACAGGCCAAGGAATAAAACTGAGAATCCAGAACCCATATGCTCAGGGGCAATTCGCCTGAGACAATGGTGCCAAGACAATTCGGGGGAAAGAACAGTCCCCTTGGCAAACGGTGCTGGGAACTGGATGTACACATGCACAGAACGACATCAGACCCCCCACCTCACGCAGCACAGAAAATTTAACTCAAATGGATAAGGACCTAAATCTAAGACTGAAAACTGTGACACTCCTAGATGAAAACATCTTTGTGAACTTGGGTTAGAAAACTGCTTCTTAAAAGTAAACCCAAGTACAGAAACAAAAGAAACAAATAGATAAATTGAACATCACGTAAATTAAAAACTTTTGTGACTCAAAGGACATCCGTTAGAAAGTGAAAATATAACCCACAGAAGGACAGAAAAAAATTTGAAAAACATATACCTGATAAGGGTCTCGTGTCTAGAATATACAAAGAACCCTTACATATCAATAATCAAAAACAATCTGATTTTAAAAAGGGCAAATGCTCTGAATAGTTATTTCTCCGAAGATGTACAAATGGCTAATAAGCACAAAAAAAGATGCTCAGCAGCACTGCCGGGCAGGTAAGCGTGAATCGAAACTGCGGTGTGACGGCTCCTCACAGCCACGAGGACGGATATAACATGAAGACGGGAAGACAAGGTGGACAAGGATGTAACAACTGTGGAACCTCACTCACCAGTGGCAAGAATGTGAAGTGGTAAGGCTAAATTTTACAGTATATGAACTGTATCTCAACAAAGATATTCTTTTAAAATGCTGTGGGAAGTACATGCTATTATGCATTTGAAAAAATTCTACTTGTAAAGTTTCATTTGGGTGTTAAAAATGTTGTTAGAGACATTAGAATAAGCATAGAAAAGGAATCAAAACTAACATTTTACAAGTGCTTTCTCGTCATGGGAAAAAGCATGCAGATTTTTCAAGTTTTGATGTCTAACTGGAATTTAATTTCTCTATCATCAAGATTTCAAACTGTTGCACAAAAAGCTCTCCACATCCATAAATACACTGGCAGAAAAGGCCTGGTATCGGAAAAGTCCTTTGTGTTTTCCTAACCATTCTGAAGGAACAGAGTTTAGATTCTATCACAGTGGATACTAACATTGATTGTGACCAGTGAGTTTATATGTATAAGGCTAATAACTTTCTAAAATCAAAACACTTTAAAGGTACTTATCTATTTAAAAATGCTATAGTTTTTTATATACTTAGCAATTGAAAATGCTTAAAATATTACCTTAATATAAAAAAGTTCCTGGATAAGACAAAAAAAATTCTATATTCTATTGGAAAATCTATTTTCAAATGCCTCACACATGCAGTCTAATTTTAGTAACCTGAAGAACCCAGCACTCAGTATGAGAGTATTTCGGAACTCACCTTTACTGTAGAGAGCTTTATGTACCTTCGAAGGCTTTTCCACCGTGGAAGACGCCGAGAATCCAGGCGGCAGGCGGACGTGAACCAGCGTCAGTGTGTTGGGTCGTGCTAATGGCTGTCTGAACGGACAGGTGCTGAAGTACAGCCTGACCCCTGACGACGGGGTAAAATCATAGATCAGTAACAGGAGGCAAAAGGCCTGAGGCACACACACTGTAACCGGAGCAATTCCAAAGAGAAACACCGAACTCTGTCTGTCACAGCCATACGGCACTTTCTGGAAAGAGCCTTCAACTGTGAGCCACACCAGCCTCTGTTCCCATTCAGGCCGTGTCAGGGAACGGTGGTAGCCACTTGAGCCTTAGGGCCTGGCTTTCCATCTACAGAATGAGCCGAGAGAACCGAGGAATCTCCCAGTTTTCAAAATCCTTAATTTTATAAATTATTAATGTGGCTTTACAATTGATGCAGAAGTAAAAATTTCTCATAGCTTTAATCACGAATTTCCAAATCGGAGGAGCATGAAAAGTTACAAAAGCAACAGCAAACATAAATGAAACAACTTACCAGCATGTGTGACAGCCAGTAACTGACAGTCCAGTGACTCAGAATTTTCGATCACTGCTATCTGAACAATTGGTTTAAAAACAGAGCGATCTATGGTCCTAAAAAGGAAGGGGAAAAAAAAAACCTAGTATATTTTTTAAACGTGTCACTGAGTAATAAGGAACATTTTCCACCAACAATTTTACGTGTTGAAATCTGTTAAACTAGTTTACAACTAACTTCTTGGGAAAGTAACAGCAGCAGTTAAGAACTGGCAAAACCCACAAATATTATGTGTTGTTTATATTACCTAATATTGTTAATTAAGAGTTACCATTTTCAAAGGTCACAAAAGGAAGCTAAATCCACTGGGTAAAGGACTAGTGGGGAACAAGATGTTCTCAGAGCATCAAGCTCTCATTGTAAAAGTTACCACTCATTAAAAAGGAGGAAAAATAAACCTTTATAATGGAGAGATCTAGCAAACACCACCTTGACCAACTGTTCAATAGTGGTAAACTGGTATTAAGTGTCTCCTGATGTAATGCTATAGGTAATGCTATAGGTAATTCACATTAGCTGTGTAATATTAGCTTAAAAAGTATTATCTTGAATCTAGTAAGGAAAAAAAGACAAATTCAGAAAATTCCTGTCCCACCCTCCCAAATGTCAGTATTTTGAAAGAAAGGTAGTGGAAGTTCTGTTCTATATTGAAAAAACTAATGACTAATGCAACTCATGAGCTCTGATGAATCTGGAGAAAAATAAAGGAAAAACCAAAAAGCTATAAAAAATTTTGGAACCCTGGCCAGTTGACTCAGTTGGAGCATTATCCTGTACATCCAAAAAGGTTGCGGGTAGGATCCCCAGCCAGGGCGTGTCTGGGAGGCAACTGATCAATGTTTCTTTCCCTTTCTCTCCTTCCCTCCCTTTTTCTCTAAAATCAATAAACATATCCTTGGTGAGGATTTAAAAAAAAAGAATTTTTGGGACTATTAATTTCAGTATGAATTATATAGTTATGAGATAATGTTACAAAAATTATTCATTTTTAAGTGTGGAATCATTTATTTTGCTTTTTGTAAGAAACTTAGGAGAAAGTCATGATTTCCACAACTCACTTTCCAAACGGCTCGTGAGAGAGAGTGAGCAAACGAGGGAAAGTGTTAACTGGTGAGTTTATACAAAGGGTACACCTGCTTTTACCACGCTGCCCTTTCAACTCTTCCGTGGATTTGAAAAGTTTCCCAGAAAATGCTGGGGAAGAAAAAGGAAACCCTTTGTTTTAGATTATCTGCCTTGAGATTTTTTTTTTTGCCACTGAAGGGCAAAGAAAATGTTGGTTTTTCACTAGGCCATCTGCATATAGCAATAACCGAAGCACACAGGTAACAGACGCTGAAAATTTGAGGCCTTTGCTGTGTGCAGAGCCTTTTGTAGCTGAGCTAAATCACCTGTGACATAAGTGAATTGCAGTGTATTTTGTCAGAAGACTGAGCATCTAGCCTGGGTTCCAGCATTTATCTAGGAGCCAGACTTCTGACAAATCACAACGCCCTTCGGTTTGTTTCCTCACGAATACAACGCGGGAAACGTCTGAGATCTTGCTCCTGAGCTTGTCAGGTTGGCTCAAATAAACGCCTATGAAAATAAGGGAGAGGGGGAGGGAGGGAGGGAGGGAGGGAACGACTCGGACAGCACAGCTGTAAATTCAGCATTTCCAAACTGCACTCCTGTCAGTCATCAGACCAGCTAAACCCACTGTGTAGGCCTCCCTCTCAAAGAGGTGGAGCAGTTGTAAGAGGGGAACTTTCCTCAATACAACACTGGTAATGCCTGCACCGAGCACGTAAAGTTTCAAAGAAAAACACACGTCACGCGGTATTTACACAGTAAAGACTGGCTTTACTGTCTACCTTACGTTTTAAAACATCCAATATAAGAATGAAGGTCTCTGGCAGCTCTATGTCAAACATAACTTACGGTGTCACTTCCTTCAACGTCCCTCATCCTTTAGAGACATTTTGGGAAGGAAACAATTTTACTATGCTGCATGTAAAACAGTGTAATTACGCCTGCAAATGAAACGTCGGATAGTAGATGACACGTCACCTCGCGATGTTTCCAGCAGCAGAGACGATAGCATTCTGCGACACCGAGGCAACTCTGCTCATTCCTTGACCATCACTGCCCAGATCATAAACCTGCATGCGAAACATTGTACCCACTGAGACACGGCTACCATCTGTCTGCGTTTTATGAGTTTATTAAACAGACTTTTCCTTTTTAGGGACCCTTTCATTTTGGTATTTCATATAGAAATAAAAACATTCACAGATCTGAAATTTCATTAAAAAATGGTTTGGACGTGGTTTTTTTTTTTTAAGATTTTATTTATTTATTTTTAGAGAGGGAAGGGAGGAAGAAAGAGAGAGAAACATCAATGTGCGGTTGCTGGGGGCTGTGGCCTGCAACCCAGGCATGTGCCCTGAGTGGGAATTGAACCTGCGACACTTCAGTTTGCAGCCTGCGCTCAATCCACTGAGCTACGCCAGCCAGGGTGGTTTTGATGTTTTATAAGAAGCACACAATTCATAGGAAAAGTCTGAGTGACTGAGCCTTCTTCCTTACAAACAGGGATGCAGGGCTGTGATGGGTAGAGCATTGTCCTAGCCAGAGGTGTCCAACCTTTTGGCATCTCTGCGCCACACTGGAAGAGCGGTCTTGGGTCACACATTAAATACATTGTGACACATAATCACAAAAAAATCTCATAATGTTTTCAGTGAATTTACAATTTTGGGTTGGGTCACATTCACAGCCATCCTGGGCTGCAGGTTGGACACACCCCTGCACACCAAGGTTGTGGGTCTGATCTCAGGTCAGGGAACATACAAAATGCAACCACCGAATACATAAATTAGTGCCACACCAAATCGAAGTTTCTCTCTCCCTTCCTCTCTTTCTAAAAATCAATAAACACACACACACACACACACACACACACACACACACACACCAGGGATGCTATTCCCACCTTAAATAGTAGTATAAGATTAATACTTACTTGTATTACTCCTTTCTCAGATCGTGTATATAAAATGTTTCTCGAATTATCAATTTCAATTTGAACAATAGGATCTGAAAGACAAAATAAATAAATACAATAAAACCCACCCAAAATGGACAAACCAAATACAGTGGCAACTTAAGTGAAAACTGCTGTATCGGAACTTTTTGTTCAGGGGTTCTCCTCCTCCTCTGCAGATATGTAAGGTATCTGCGTGAGGACACACCCCAGAAGCACTCAGATCGGACAACGTGCGAGCAAAAAGCAGACACCAAACACTGTGACTGGGTGAAGAGCATGAAAAACAAGTTATCCTATCCTCTAAATAAATTTTAAGCCAAACCAAGACCAAGGTCTAGATCATTCCTCCCTTCAACAAGTAAACAGTTAACGAACGTTTGCTATGTTCCAGAAACCCATGACAAATACTCATACTCAGTCCATTCCTTCAAGAAACTGCCAGGTTCGTCTACTGAGTCACTGTGTGAAGGGAAATCATCTATTGTAGTCACAATAACTTTTTAAAGTTAATTTACCTTATTTCACTGAAGTGTTTTTAGATTATTTCACCGGCACCTCTCATTTTATTAAAAACTCTTACATATTCATTTCGTGCTGGGAACTTGTTCTAGAGCAGGCAAAACACACACTAGGTGTCTGACCGGTTTTCACACGTGTGTGCACGCGCACATGCGCACGTCTTGCTTTCGGAGCTTACGTGTGGCTGTTTTTGACACGTGTTCCACGATGCTACACGGACAGAAACTTGGGAACAAACCCACACTGTTTCTGTTTCATAGTCCCTTCTTCCTTTAAGAGCCTTATGAATATATCAGAAATGTATTTAAAAAGACAAAGTTTCAATCGAGAATGAGAATTTCTTAAGAAAATGTTAAGTCACTGATCTGTTATAAATTTTCATTTGCTAAGTTTATTGTTTTCTACTCACCATCTTCTGAAAATGTGAATTGTAGCAACGAAGGAACAAGAAAAGAAAGCGCACTCTTGGAGTGGTTGATTTTCCTACATCTTTGGCTAAACCAACCTGCTTCTGCCTTTAAAGAGAAAAGTGAGAGAAGACTTGTAAATGTAGGTACTTCCGTCACAGCAACTACTGTATACCCACGTTTACAAAAATCCTCAAATCATAGCAAAATACCAATAATTGTAAATGAAGGCATACTATTCAAAAGCAGTACTGAGTTTGGTCCTGTAATTAAAATAAACATGCAGCTAACTACAATTAAATTACTGCCCTCAACAAAATCAGCTATGTCTATTCCAGAAATCTCAGTAGTGTTATGCTAATGAACTCGTATTTTGATTCTCTCAAAAACTATTTCAAAGTATAAGGAACATAATAAGCAGGGTTTATAAGTGCCCACCAAAGTACATAGGACTGAGGTACTTATATTATCTCATCCCCTTTCTGCTAAAAGCAGACTCTAACAAGAGCGGCCACCACCATCATAATCTACACTGTATTTCTCAATGACTGAGTTTTGCCCTACAAAACCATTTTGTGGTAATGAACAAGGCCAACAGAAAATGAGCAAGAAAGAAGTACAATGTAATATAAAAAACACAACTGACCTGGGTTCTATACCTAGTTCTGCCACTAATTAGCCTACCAGAATATGACTTTATCAGTTTCCTAAAGTTTACCTTATGCAAAACGCAACAATACGGAGGGGAAAAGATACACAGAGAAAAGGACACAAAAAGGCATTTCAGAGTAGAGAAAACATAAATGACCAATAAACACATGAAAAGATTATCAACTCAGTTATAAAAAAGTTATTTCCCTCCATCAAGATTGGCCAACATTAACAAGTTGCATAATACCAGTGCCGGTGAAATACATTCATAGATGTCTGTTAAGAGTCTGAAATTCTTATAGGGCAATATGAAAATACTAAACAATTTTATTTTTGTACTTTTATTGATTTTTTCCCATTACCATTTAGTCCCCTTACTCCTCCCTCCCCCCAGCAACCACCATACTGTGTCCATATCCATGAGTTCTTTTTCCTTTTTGCTCAATCCCTCCAACCCCTGACCTCTGCCCAACATTTAAATGCATATACCATTTATTGCTGTGTATAATGCGCATGTTTCTGCCCAAATTTTTGAGGGAAAAATAAGGATGTGCATTATACATGGGTAGTACTAATTCCCTATCTATATAAATGTTTTTAATTCTTTTATTTATGCTTATGTGTTAAAAGTGTAACCCTAGAAAGCAATAACGACATCCATATAAAAAGTAATACCCTGGAATATGATAATAGCTTTTATATATAAATGAAAAATTGAATTAAAAAATTAAAATGAAAGATCTTTTCCTCAAAGTTTGGACCAAAAACATGGGGGTGCATTATATATGGGAGCACAGTAAACATGGCAAAATATGGCACCCAAACTATTAGAATGCAACTATTAGAACTCTAAGACTCAACACAAAAAAATCTACTCATGTGCACAAGGAGGCTTACAAGAGAACACTCTTACTGTGCTACTGTGAAAAGGAAAACAGAAAACCTGGATGTCCATCAGGGAAGAAATTGTTTAGTAAACCATGTATGTCCATTTCATGGACAACTATGCATCAATTACCAAACATAACATACATACATCTATCTATGTATCTATGTATCTATCATCAGATACTGACAAGGAAAGACTTTCAAGATATAGTTAAGTAAAAAGCCAATTATGTAACAAAATATAAGCAATAATTCAAGTAAAAACAAATACAAACATACACGATGTATTGGTATATGTGTATCCACACATAAATACATAGGTATAGATACTTACAGATATGTATCAATGTGTGTATCCTGTTCTAAAAGGACATACTCAGAACTGATACAGGCTTTTACCTCTGGAAAGAGGACTGGGTTCTGCAGGCATGGTGTAATAGCACAGGAGTGCAGGACCACCAGCTTAAACTGTATGTCTGAGTACCTTCTATAAGAATATGTTAGCCCTGGCTGGTGTAGCTCAGTGGATTGAGTGCGGGCTGCGAACCAAAGCATCGCAGGTTCAATTCCCAGTCAGGGCACATGGCTGGGTTGCAGGCCAGGTCCACAGTGGGGGCCGCAGGAGGGGCAACCACACATTGATATTTCCCCCCCTCTCTCTCCTTCCCTTACCACCTCTAAAAATAAATAAAAAAAAATATATATATATTTTAAAGATTTTATTTATTTATTTTTAGAGAGGGAATGGAGGGAGAAAGAGAGAGAGAGAGAAACATCAATGTGCGGTTGCTGGGGGTCATGGCCTGCAACCCAGGCATGTGCCCTGACTGGGAATTGAACCTGCGACACTTTGGTTCGCAGCCCGCGCTCAATCCACTGAGCTACGCCAGCCAGGGCAATATATATATATGTTAAAAAAAAAAAAAACAACAACCAATGCAAATACATCATATGGGTTTAAATCATAAAAAAAAAAAAGAATATGTTAACATGCTTATATAATTACAAAATAAAAAACAAAATCCACCCCTACTTCATCAAAAGGGAGAAAAAAAAGTTCATTAATGCCAGGCTTACCTGGTATGCTACTTCATATAAACAGCCATCTTTTCCAGCCAAGAAAATTCTGCCGTTGTCGGTGGAAGTTATTGTTAAGAGGTAAGTATTATCAGTGGGAAGAGAATACAAAGGGTCTGGAAGCAACTGCATTCCTCCATACATACTGTCATTCAGAACTCCAGTGCCTTTTTCATTTTTAAAGAAAGAACACAGGAATCAGTTTATCGGCTTTTAAAAAAATGTTTGGAACAATCACTGCATTATCTTTAGAAATGGTGTTTTTACTGCATTCTTACGGACATACTCCAAAGCTTCTGTAACATCTACAGAAAATCTAATACAATTTAATAACTCAGGTGAAATAGAACCTACAGTACATATATAAAAAATATAAAAATATAGTATATAATATCAATAAATATCAATACATTGTACATATCAATAAAAAAAACTAACTCAAATTTTAAATTTTGGAAATGAGCCTATGAATGTGGCAGCAATAGTTAATTATTTTGAGTCACTGGTTCAACATTATTTCACCCAAAACAACACAAAAGAAACCACTGAATGTGATCGTGACTGAGGGCTTCTTACTTCAGTGTTCCACGTTAAAATGGCCATTCAGTAAACCAGAAACAAAGCAAATGAAGGCACTATTGAAAATCTCACTAGCACAGATTCTTCTCCTTCTACTACCCTCCCTTTATATTGTACATTTAAAACGTGCACATTAGTATGGTAAATACATCCAAAATATTTTTTTGGTGGAGCTACTGTCCTGAAAGATATCAAATCTACAGGGGAATATGATTTGTCTAGGAGCAAATAGCCTGGAAAGTTAACTTAGTAAAAAAAAGTTAGTTTTTAGTTATAACATTAAACTCACCAACATATACATACATTTTTAAAACACAACACATGGGTTGCTATACCTGTTTGCAAATTAGCATAGCTGAGTCCAAGAATCACTATATCCACAGGGGTTGCCAAAACCAGGAGGTGTCGGACATGAGGCTGAAAGATGCCTAAGATAAACATACATGGGTTTGGGATTATGTTTTCCAAAAATTTCCAGTATTTAAGTGTTGACACAGTAAGTTTTTACTATTATAATGAGATACTGATTACATAGTATATGAAAAGTCTGAACCCAATTTAGTTCTTTTTGATATTAAAGTAGTACTACCTATGATCATTTAAGAAAGTAAGCAGCAGCCCTGCTGGGTAGCTCACTTGGCTGGAGCATTGTCCCGACAAGACAAAACCGCAGGTTCGATCCCAGGGCACACGTAGGAATCACCCAATGAACGCATAAATAAGTGGAACAATTACTCAATGGTTCTGACTTTATCTCTTTCTCTCTCTCCCTCTCTCCCTTCTCTCTAAAAAAATAAAATGAAATAAAAGAAACAAAAACTAAATAGCAGAAAAGAACCACCTCAGAAAAGAAATACTTTGGTATTCAATGCCATTTAAAATCAGTGTTGTATTACCAAATTCTTTAGGTTTATTAATATGTGAGGACTTCTATTTGTATGCCCACATTCACAGCAGCATAATTCATAGCGCCTGGAAGGTGGAAGCCACCCAAGTGTCCGTCAACAGATGAACTGATAAACAAAATGTGGTATAGACACACGATGGAATATTATGCAGCCTTTAAAAAAAACTTCTGACACACTACAACAGGGATGAACCTTGGGTCTTATCCCACAAAGTTGAAGGTCGCCAGTTCAAGTCCCAGTCGGGGCATGTGCCTGGGTTGCGGGCGCATGTGAGAGGCAGCCGACTGATGTTCACACTGATGTTTCTCTCCCTGTCTTTCTCCCTCCCTTCCCCTCTCTTTAAATAAATAAAATCTTTAAAAAAAATCTTTCATGCATTTGTTCCAGTATTTTGCAATAGATGGTAAAAATAAAAGGCACTCCCCTTCAGGATGCAATAGGGTCAAATAATCGACATTTCTCACTTTAGTCAACTCACTTTTTATCTATAAAGTGCACTTTTTTAGCACTTTTAAGAAACTGCCATATTTCTTTAGGTCTTTGGAATGGCTCAAAATCTCACTGCCCGATAACAAGTTTAATACTCGTGTACAAATATGGACATTTACAATCCTTTGCAACACATCTGTTTTTGCTGTTTTGATGAAGAAACTCAATAGAACCCTAAATCACTGCTTTTACAAAGTCATGTATGCCCTGGCACCAAAAACTTGGCCAATAGTACTTTCAACTTCAAATGCAATTTCAACAACTATATAAATCGGTGCCTTTTCAAGAGATTTTTGTCCAGAAATAGAAAAATATGAACTAACTCTCTTCTACTGAGAAGTTCAGACTCTGCACAAGTAGCTGATTAAACCCGAGGCAGGTTTACTTTATTAGATGAGGAAGGTGGTCTTGGAAAGACCATTCCAAGAATCACGCAGAGGGAGGAGCTTATGCACGGTGTGACTTTGGGGGAAGCTTTCCTGCGTCATGCAGATGATACAAATAACTGACTCACAGTCACATCCTCACTATTATAAAAACTGCTCCAAAGCAGCACGCTCTCTCGGCTAAGTTATAGCCCTGGGAGATGAGACTGAAGCTGGAAAATGGTGAGAACTGCTTCTCTTCAATACGTGAGAAACACTTCCTTGAACTCAAAAAGCGTGCTTAAGCCTTGTTAATTTTTCTGTAGGCATAAGGAAAAATTCCTGAGTGCTAGAAAACACACCAGAATTCTTGTTTTATTCAACGAAGCATAACATTGAAACATAGTTTCATAATCTTGCTTACATAGAAGCATCAACAAAGCAGACTTTTGCCCAAAAGTCTGAGTGACTTAGAAAACAATTCCTTTAATTGAAGAATACTATTTCCTTGCAAAAGGCAAAGTAAAATGTGGACTTTGTTAACATTAACACATGTTTGAGTCAGAATTTTCAGGACTTGTTGACAGCAAAATCAGAACTGTTTAATTATCAAAGATAACACCTTTGCTGCTGTATCAAAGACTACACCATAATTTTAATTTGCGATGAAATTTATATTTAAGTAAAACAAAATTTTACTCTTTGGTTTAGATGGACAATTTATATTTATTAAATAGGGGGCAGCAACAGCTATTAACTTTCATATAAATAAACTTTAAGCAATAAGAGAGAAACAAGCATCAGGGTAAAGAATGCTTTTGAGAATCTATGTAAAGAAAATAACATTCCCAAAGTAATCATAAAACAATGCATTAAAACTGCATGTTTGTACTTAAGTGAACTGTTGTAATTTCAAAGTGGCCGTGACCTTTAAAGAGCTTTACTGAAGCCCTGCAAACAAGGGAATTTTGTCTACTACTTCCTCTGGTAGGCAGGAAGGTACATGTGGAGGGACTGAGCAAATAGGAAAGAGGACTCATGGACGTGGACACCAGTGTGGTAATTGCTGGGGGGAGGGAGTATAAGGGGACTAAATGGTAATATAAAAAATATAATAATAATTATGTATTTTTTTAAAAAAGAGATGCATTTAAATTTAAATCAATCAATTCTACTTGTCAGTAGCTCTGGTAAAGATGTGGCACAATGAGGTTAGAACTGTGAGCTAAACAATGCCTGTGACTTCTCCAAGACTTATTCTGAACTGTGTTCTCACTTTCCCGGTCTATCAAAACTAAAACAAACAAACAAACAAACAAACAAAAAACATGCAGAGATAAAAATGGTTTTTTACAGCAAGTGATGAAAAATGCATAATACCAAAAACTTCAGGGAAATTAAGAGTAACAAAATGTAAGCCAGATAAAATCCAGGAACTATACAGTTTAACAATTTTAGCGGCAGATTTACTTATACCATTATAAAGTGAGGAAACTGTTAAATATTCCTAATTACTTTATTTCTGATTAGAAGGACTCTGAACAAAACTTCAGTAGGAAATTCAACTACTTAAAATGTGTTGTCATTTGGTCCTAAAACAGTTGAAGTCTGTGTACGTATGAACTTAAATTAATCCATATATATTCTTTTATTTCTTACCAGCTTTTGGTTTCACGAGCCCCACGGCAAGGATAGTCTCACTAAGTCCATCAAAATAGGCGAGGTCTCCCCTGTCAGCAGTTGAAGAAAAACATGTTATACACGTAAACAGAAAGTTTTATTTTATAATAGTCTTTATGACTATTACATGTAATGAAAAGTGAATGAGCAAACTGCTTCCGTTCCAAGACCCAGGCGCAGGGCAGGGGCCTACCCAAGGCCAAGTGTGCGTGCACCGGAACACAGGGGTGCTGCTCCCCATTCCACCCCCTGCCCAGGCTGCAAGTCTCAAGTCACAGCAATCTACTGCGGGGAGAGGGACAGACCTAGAGGACCTTTTCAGAAACACGGGGAAACAGGAACAGAGCGCAACCCACCTGCACCCTGAGTGCAAGGTAGTTTGGAAGCGACGTGGAGCCTCTGGTGCACTGAGGGTAGCCCCGGGAACAACAAAGCGAACGCAGCTCAGGTCCTGACTTGGAAAAGTCATCTCGCCCCGCAATAAAGGCCTACTGCTAGGCTCTAGCAAGTGAGGAAACCTGCTGATTTCCTCCTTAAAGTTTTTTTTAAAAATTCAATGTACTGGGGTAACATTAACATTTACATTTAGTGTAAATGTTAACATAAATGTGAATTTGATGTTATGACGGTTAATAACATCTTATCAATTTCAGTTGTACAATTTAATAATACATCCGTATACTCTACTGTGTACCACTGAAGTCTAGTGTCCCTCCACGACCACATACTTGACCCCCTTGACGTTCTTCATCCTGCTCCCACCGTTCTGCTGTGTCTACGAGTTTACTTCTCTTTGTGTTACACCCCACATGTGAGTAAAATCACATGGTCTGACGCACACCCATTTCTAAGGACAAACGTTGCTTCCTTCAGTATCCACTGTCCCACACACAATACCCGGCTTTCAGGACAAGAGCACGGGCACAGAACAGCGAGGAGAAACAGAGCTCCGCTGTCCGAAGAAGACACAGTGATCAGCAGAACTAGACTCAGCTGTGAGCCCCGTGTCTGACCCGGAGACGGGAAATGTAGAACCAATACAATCGACACAGTACAGGCTTTCACGGACAAGGTGGACACCATGCATCAACAGGTAAGGCACTTCAGCAGAGGTGAAAATGAAAAGAAATGAGTAAGTGAAAATGTTAGAAATAAAATGCACAGCACACAGAAAGAACGTCTTTTAAGAACTTTTTGGTAGACTTCATATAAGAAAAGAATCAGTGAACCTGAAGTTAGGCCAACAGAAACTGTCCAAAATGAAACCAAAAGGGAAGAGAGAGCAGAGAAACGAAAACAGAACAAAGTGTCCAAAATCTGCCGTACAACACCAAACAATCTCACAAAAGTGTAACTGAAATCTCAGAAGAAAGAGGGACAGGATGGGGCAGAACAAGTATTTGAAGATAATGGCTGAAATAATTTCCAAAAATAATGAAAAACATCAAAACAAAGATCTAAGAACCACAGAGAACACCAAGCAAGACAAATATCAAGAAAAAAAAAATGATGCAGACTCTGAAGAAAACTTCCGGTTGCCCAGAAAGGGGCTAGCTATGCAGGCAGAACCGAGAACACCTGAACCGTCACTTATGTGGGCCAGGCCAGGCTCCCTGTTTCTGCCGCCGTGGCATCCCAGGCTCCGTGAGAACGGGTTCCCTCCCAGGCGAGGCTGATACTGGGAGAGCTGAGGGTCGGAGAACGATGAATCGCACAAGACTGTCTGCATCATCCGTATGCAGTTAGGATGTAAAATACAAAAGCTAAAGGAATAACTGAAACCATGCCTCGGGTTTCTGCACTGCACAACTGAGTTTGTGAATGAAAGATGTATCCCCAGTACTTGTGCCTGGATTTTTTTCCAGTAAGCACAGTGCTCAAGTAATTTTTCTTTAAATGAGTTCTCGTTTGAACACACAGTAAGGTGAGACTGTTCCTTGCTGGCAGAGACCACCCATATCCCATTGAGTGTTGTTCCTAGCACAAAACACATGACAGACTCAATATATTTGTTAAATGAATATGTCAGATGTTAATGGAAATACAAAAATTTTCAACGAACTGAAACCCTTTGGCATTTAGTTTTCTTGAGGAGACTCATGCCTCAACAGAGGTTTTATTCTTTAGTATCAAAATGAGTAAGTTACAGTGGTATAACAAACTGGGGCAAAGTTCAGGGTACCTGGAGAACGATCACAAGCAGACAGCACTGCATTTATGACTATGTAACATTTCAACAATAAAAACCTATGAAAAGGTGGGTCTAATTTTTTTAAAAGATCAGCAAACAAAATGGTTTCATTTAAGCTATATGTTCTCACTTAGTGTCAATTTTGATTCAGTGATACAATGTTTTGAGTGTATGTATACATAATAAGTGCATCAATTACTCAGAGACAAGAGTAACATGGCCTTCCTATCCCACGCCTCACCTAAAGTTAATATGTACTGAAGTACTGAAAAGTAAGCCTAAATTTACCTCCAAAAAGCCAAGAGTGAGATCACCAGATTAATAAAATTTAAGCAAAAATGCCTTGGGCCTTCCCTCAGACTCTACTATATACATTTAATTTATACACAGGTCAAGCCCAGAATTATAAAACAGTTTAGTCATTTCTGTAAATCAGCAGTCTCCCATTCCACAGAAATGCAAGGAAAACACAAGTCTTTAAAAATGTCAAACCATCTTTCAAAGAATTACTGACAGACTATCTTCACTAAAGGATCTGAGTAGCTTGGGACCTAGACCCAGCTACTCAGAGTGGTACCTAGACTGGCAGCATCACCCGGGACCTTGCTACAAATGCACTCTGGAACCTCGGTTGGAACTGCTATCACAGATTCCCTAGTTTAATCCCATCCCCCGGTGACTGACACCCACAGTGGAAAGCGGTGACCTGGACGTTAGATGAATGGAAGATTAATCAGGCAATGTTTAATAAGCAGAATACTAGGTGCAATAAAGATCATCTAAACTGTAAGCACGCTAAGACATGGCGGCCTTCAGTGCATACCCATCTTCATAGTTCCACATGAATATGTCGCTGTCGATGGTGAGCCAGGCCCTGCTGACGGCGGGGAACACGCCCATCATGCAGTTGCACTGCATGTCTGAGGTCGGTGATGTAAGGCAGACAGACTGCAGTCGCATCTACTCTAAACTTCTCCCCAAAGACCTCGATATACAATTTATGATTAAAAAATCATGACCCACCCACTCTTTAATAGAAAGACCAAATAAAATACCCTGATTTCCAATGAGTTTAATGAGAGCCACGGTGTACAACAGAAACACTTTAATTTATAATTTCCTAATAATGATATCTGACCATTTGAAATATATCTGGACAAATGTAGTGTGTGTATGTGTGTACCATTACGAACTTTAAAAAGAATATTGATCATGAATAACACCCTTGAACTCTGACATCAAAAAGCTGTTTTACTGAATCAGATTTTCCAACTGTGTAAGAGCAAGAGTGATAAAAAAGTACATGGTATGCTAGTCACAGTTAGGTGACAATTTGCAATTCTCTTACATTATAAATAATGCAATTTTAAAATAGGCCAAGATGTATGTTATATAGTTATAAGACAATGAAACAATTGTGAAAACAAATTAATTTCCTAAAGGAAATGTCTCTTACAGAGTATATAGTATTATCAGAAGATTAAAGAATATTAAGAAACTAAGCAAGGGATACAGTGGATTATATATTTAATAACACTATTTTACAAAGTCTCAGAGAAACAGCAAAAATTTTAGGGTAAATATATATTAGATTTTACTAACTTTCCTATTTATTTCATAAGCATTTTTCCTAATTTTCCATTTCTTTTTCTCAATCATTGTATTGAAATACAAGGCCCTTTTATTCTTCAGAGATTAATATACTTTTAAAAGTCTCATTAAATTTTAAGGTAGCACCTTGAAGTCTTTATTATGAGAGCTATAGATTGATATAAAATCTTAGCCAAAAAAGAAAAGAAATCTAGTGCTTTTCTACGGTATGCCATGCATTAAGAAAACCAGATAGACTTTTTTTAAAAAGGTAAGAAAACTCCTCTAGCTACTCAATCTATGAAGATGCCATTCCCATAACAATTTCTAACATCTTTTTATAAAGATTCTTATTGTGATCCTTAGAAATGAAATCATACAGATACTTCAATTCTAAGACACCAGTAAATGTAAAGCTACACGAAAAACTTTTGGGGGGAGAAAAAAAAATTCCTAGCAATTTTTGTTTGTTTTTAAATGTATTTTGAGCCACATCCCAGTTTCAAAATGTTAAAATATGGGGAAAAAATAAAATTGAAAACATGGGTCTTTGAGCTAATAAAGTCTGGCAATAAAAACTTTCTTACATAGCACTTAACTGGAAATTAATACTTTGCAATAATATTTAAAAATGCAGAGTTTCTTGTAAACAATTCACTCTCCTTAGTGTCCCAAAGCAATTAAAATGTGACTCAATTTTCAGCATAAAATTTTATATAAAATTTTTTAGGCACACGGTAAACTACCTATGTACTTAAATGTATTTTAAATAAAACCTTTAAATGAACTTATATACATATCTCATCCAACATGAGACAGGGAGTACAATAATGAGACTACCAGTTAAAAACAGTTTTAAAGTGCTAAACACAACACAATAGGATACGTCCAAACTGTTCGACAAGCTCAGGTGGGAGAGGAACTCTGCGGATGGAGCTGATCTCTGGGAGGCTGGGCACCGACAGCAAACCAGGTCCTTGTAGAGGGTAATCCATATCTGACATGCCAGAAACAGTGGGGTTATCTACAAAAAATAAAGTGAAGCATTTAATTAAAATCAATCACGTACTGGGCATCAGCTGGGTATACAGAAGCACTGCAAGCTACAAACAAAATTGTGCATCTGGTGGCTCTAAAGCTACAGAGAGAATAAAGTCACTCTGACCTGATGCAAAGGAGACCTGAGAAGTTCCAGTGCTAAGGCAGGGCACTTAACAAGGTTATCTTTCCCAGATACTTTGTAAAAAAGAAACTGGTTGGTTAGGGCATCTGGTATTTTTCTATTATTTTACTAATTTGAAATATATATGTATATATATAATACACACACACACACACACACACTTTGTGATTCTCAGATCAAACAATTGTGGGCAAAATATTGATTCCCCAATAGGTATTGGGGAATAGCTATTTCCTCTCCCACTTAAACATTTACAGATTCAATTCATGTCTTTTCCATTAGACTTCCCCCCTAGACCAACAAGGTAAGTACAACGAGTACCACAGAGGCAGCATTTTACTGCTCTACAAAGGCTTCTCACCTGGCAACCTTTCCGTTGCCCAAGGAGCCAGACACCAAGGCCAGGAGCAGGCAGGCCTCTCAGGCCTGTGTGGTCAGATCTGAACAAGGTGTTGTTTAGATCTGATGACCTACTTAGCTCTGGCACCTTTTCAGGCTCTCTGAAGTACAAAGATGCTGGGGAAAACTCGCATGTGACACAACTTTTAAATGTATTGTAGAAATGTAAAATATACAGAACTAAAGAGAAAACTGCAACCAATCCTTATGTACTGATTACCCACCTTCAACAATTACCCACAACCATGGCCAACCATGTTTCATTTATGCCACTATCTGCTTTTTCCCTAATGGATCTTCTGAAGCAAATCCCAGACATCCCATTTAATATTAAAACATATTTTAATAGAACAGTGCATGTGTTAAATGGCAGTGGGGACACGATTAATGACTGGGGAAGACGTGAACAGTTAGGAAAGCCTTCACGAAGAAATATTTAAGGGAGTTTGGAAGAATCACTTGTCAACAAGGAAAGAACATTCCAGAAACAACGAAGAGTACATATAAAATAAAAAACCCCGGCCCTGGCTGGTGTAGCTCAGTGGATTGAGCTGAGGCTGCGAACCAAAGTGTCACAGGTTTGATTCCCAGTCAGGGTACATGGCTGGGTTGCAGGCCACAGCCCCCAGCAACCGCACATTAATGTTTCTTTCTCTCTCTCTTTCTCCCTCCCCTCCCTCTCTAAAAATAAATAAATAAAATCTGTAAAAAAAACTTATAACAATTGGTGAATTTAAAAAATAAATAAGTAAATAAAAATAAAAAACCCTGGAGAAGGGTCCTCTCATGGAAAACACGCTAAATTCAGTGTGGCTGTAACAGGGGCAGAGAACAGAATGGGCGAGGGGGAAGAGATGAGTTTGAAGAGGTGGGGGTGTGTACTGGTGGACTGAGAGGGTCTGGGTCGGATGTGATGAAGGGCCAGAATGTGTGCACTGTGTTTATATCTTGTGTTCAAACCTGTGGAGTTCAAAGAGAGCAATGCTGTTCAAGAGGAGAATGAATGGCTAACAGGCCATTCAGTTCTCCTGAGACAGACCCAATGGTAAGTAGCTGTCACGAACAAATACTATTTTTGCTATGTTTCTGTCTTTCTTGTGATTACAAGGTCACTCCACAATTTTTATAAGTCACCAGAGGTGTCTTCCAGGTTTACAATGCATAGACTATCCTGGTTATTTATTCTTGGTTCTTGCTTACCAAAAATCTTGTCTCTACCTCACTTACACTTCTCCGCTTTTCTCCAATTTCCATCTCACAAAGGAGTCACTTTTTTTTTTCTAGCAACTTATGTAATTCCATATGCCTTGAGGAGCCATAATTCAAGACTGTTAACAAAGCATTTTCCAGCCACTGGTCTTGTTGGCACATAACTCTGCCCTACCCTCCCTTCCATCAACATTGCTGATCTCTCCTTCTCTTCATTTCCCTGGAGGTTCTTTTGAACACCTCCCAGCACTTCATAGGACACTAACTCTACACATAATAAAGCATATCTTTCAGAGAACACGGTAAATTTCCCGATTCGCTTCCTTTGCTCTTCCGTTTTACTCTAATGCTAACACGAGTCATTAACAAGGATGCGACTTGGACCCGGCGATCCTCCTCACCCGAGCCGTCAACACTCGGAGGCAGTGAAGAAGCTCGTCTAGGTTGGGGTCTTTGCCTCTTTGTGCGCTTTTCACTCCTACCCTCTCAAGTATCTGCAACGAAGCAAGTAAGGACAGGACAAAAAGGAACATAGGCTCTTTTTTGCTCTTCAAAATGTAGCAAACTGTCCTACATTTCAAGATGCCTTCGCCGGGTCCACTCGAGGGATAAGGACCTAGTTAGAGAGTCCGGCGAGAGTCCTTTCGGAAGGACTGAGAAACCAGCCACCAAATGGGCACCGATCACACTCACTTGGGGCAGACACCATGAGCAGCTCGGAAAGGTCCGGGTACATGCGGTCTTCTTGCAGCTGACGGTCGATGAGCCGCCCCGCATTTTCCAGAGCTTCCTGCAGGGCCGCGGCCGACGTGGATGCCGGCATCGCCGAGCCCAGCAGGGAAGACGGCATCCTGAAAACTGAAGACACCAGTGTCCGGTAAGAGTCCAAAGCCAAGGCGCACTGTGCAAAAACCCAAGAGCCCAGCTCAGCCCCGCGGCTCGCGGCGCGCGCGCCAACCCAGCGCCCCGGCGCCCGAGCCTGACGCACTTCCGGCTCCTGGGGCGGGGAATTTGAAGGCTCCGTTTCGGGAGTTTGGAGGAGGACGCGGTTCCGGGAGGCGGGCCTTAGGGGCGGAGCCGGGGAGAGGGAGGCAGTTTTGAAAGGGTGGCTCGGGTTCAGCGGCGGGGAAGGGGGAAATCAGAGGAGCTTAACGGGGCGGGGGGGGGGGGGAGGGGAAACGGGGAAGGACCGGGAAGGAGGGGACAGGGCGAGGTGGGGAGGGGTGGGTGACGGGAAGGGAGGAGGGGCGGGGACCGGGTGAGCGGGAGCCGGGCGTGGGTGCCGCGTCGGTGGGGGCGCCGGTGGCTCCGCTTCGGGTGGGTTGAGCGCGCGCACGCTGGATCTTTGCGTCTCGAGCTTCCCGGGTCCAACTGCAGCTGTTTCGGAGGGTGCGCGTCGGTTTCTTCGCCGCTCCAAATGACTCGAGAGGGGCCAGTCGGTAGCTTGTCGGAAACAGTTTCCACAGGAACCAGAGTTTCACCACGTTTCTTAGGGGCTTCAGTGTAAATTAAAATCCATCAGGCTTTTCTATTCGCATGTCGCTGCCGTTTGACTTTGTGACCGATACTGTGAAGAACTGTGTGTTTAAGGAATGTTTCGCTCCGTGCAGGGGGCTTCTGCCTTGCATTATTTCTCATTACGGAGAGGGGAGCAGATGGCTCTAATTCATAGTAGAGGCACTGGTATAGAGGTCACCCAACAGATCACCCAGTCCTTCCGCAGAAACGGAATTTCTTTTTTTTTATTATTATTGTTGTTCAAGTACTATTGTCTCAGTTTTCACCCCACTACGCCGCCCCCCCCCCACGCCCCTATCCCGCCTCCCACCCTCGGCCGCCCCCTTTGACTTTGTCCATGTGTCCTTCATACATGTTCCTCGATTCCCCCCCCCCCCCCATTATCCCTCTCCTGGCTCCTCTCTGGTTACTGTCAGACTGTTCTTTATTTCAATGTCTCTGGTTGTATTTTGTTTGCTTGTTTGTTTTGTTGTTTAGGTTCTACTTATAGGTGAGATCATATGGTATTTGTCTTTCACCACCTGGCTTATTTCACTCAGCATAATGCTCTCCAGTTGCATCCATGCTGTCGCAAAGGGTAGCATGTCTCAAAGGGTAGCATGGCTCCTTTCTTTCTGCTGCATAGATTTCCATTGTGTAAATGTACCATAGTTTTTTGATCCACTCATTTACTGATGGGCACTTAGGTTGCATCCAGCACTTGGCTATTGTAAATTGTGCTGCTATGAACATTGGGGTGCATAGGTTCTTTTGGATTAGTGTTTCAGGGTTCTTAGGGTATAATCCCAACAGTGGAATTGATGGGTTAAAAGGCAGTTCCATTTTCAGTTTTCTGAGAAAATTCCACACTGTTTTCCATAGTGGTTGCACCAGTCTGCAGTTCCACCAACCGTGCACTAGGGTCCCCTTTTCTCCACATCCTCTCCAACACTTGTTGTTTGTTGCTTCATTTATGATGTCCATTCTGACTGGTGTGAAGTGGTATCTCATTGTGGTTTAAATTTGCATCTCTCTGATAGCTAGTGATGCTGAGCATCCTTTCATGTGTCTCTGGATCCTCGTGTGACCTCCTTGGGAAAGTGTCCAAGTCCTTTGCCCATTTTTTTTTTTAAATAATCTACTTTTTTTTTTTTTTTAGATTTTATTTATTTATTTTTAGAGAGAGAAAGGAGGGAGGGAGAGAGAGAGAGAGGAACATCAATGTGTGGTTGCTGGGGGTTATGGCCTGCAACCCAGGAATGTACCCTGGCTGGGAATCGAACCTGGGACACTTTGGTTCCCAGCCCGCGCTCAATCCACTGAGCTACGCCAGCCAGGGCTCTTTGCCCATTTTTTAATTGGGTTGTTTGTCTTCCTGGAGTGGAGTCATGTGAGCTCTTATGTATTTTGGAGATCAAACCCTTGACTGAGGTATCATTTGCAAATATGTTTTCCTATATGGTTTGTTCTCTTTTCATTTTAATGTTGTTTTCTTTAGCCATGAAGAAGCTTTTTATTTTGATGAGATCCCATTTGTTTATTCTTTCCTTTATGTCTCTTGCTCTAGGGGACATATTTATGAAAATATTACTGTGTGTAATATCTGAGATTTTCCTGCCTATGTTCTCCTTCAGGACTCCTATGGTGTCACAACTTATACTTAAATCTTTTATCCACCTTGAATTTATTTTGGTGTAAGTTGGTGGTCAAGTTTCATGCATGTAGCTGTCCAGATCTCCCAACACCATTTGTTGAGGAGGCTATTTTTACTCCATTTTATGCTTCTTCCCCCTTTGTCAAATATTAATTGACCATAGAGACTTGGGTTTATTCTGGGCTCACTATTCTGTTCCATTGGTCTGTGTGTCTGTTCCTGTGTCAGTACTACATTGTCTTGATTACGGTGGCCTTGTAATATAGTTTGATATCAAGTATTGTGATCCCTCTTATTTTGTTCTTCTTTCTCAAATTTGCTACTGCTATTTGAAAATGAATTCTTAATTGTGCCCAGTGCCAAGAATATCAAACTGACACAGCATTCCTGTGCTCAAAGTGCTTCATGCAGGGGCACACCAACAAAGCAATAAAGTGCATCACCATCAATTTTGTTTGTGGTAGTTATTAACTGAACTGGAAAGAGGAGAAGTTAAGTGAGGAGTGGCGAGATAAGCTTCATTTCATACAGAAGAAAACTTGAGTAGTGAGATCAAAGCACTTTTCTTCAAACAGCAGTCCTCATTTAATTCTTATTATCCACTTAACAGATGAGGAGAATCTAAGTAACTCACCTAAATTATATCATCAGAACCATGTTTTGAACCCAGACATTCTAGCTCTGGAACTCATTTTCTTAACACTGTGCTCTTCTGCCTTTCCAATTTATGAATAAATTTACTTTGCTTCAAAAAATCAAAGCTGCCTTGGCACACTTAACAATTATATTATGACATTCATGCAAACAAACAAGGAAAAAATCGTTTAATGTGGAAGTCTCCATTAGTACAATTATTCCCTCTATCTTTTGTCATAAGCAAATATATCTTCCTGTGATTTTTCTGTAATGTGTATGATTATTTACTCCCATTGGTTGATGGTTTCCATGTTCCATTTTTTCTCTCTAGCACTTAGTAGGTTAAAATTTTATACAGCTTCAATGGCGTCTCCTCAACAAATGGTGCTAGAACAGCTGGACATCCACATGCAAAAAAATCTTGACACAATGCATTTACCCTTCACAAAAATTAACTGAAAATGGATCACAGACCTAAATGTAAAATGTAAAGCTATACAATTCCTAGAAGAGAAACAGGGAAAAAACCTAGATGACCTTGAGTAAATTGATGACTTTTATTTGGATACAACACCAAAGACATGATCCATGAAAGAAATGATTGATAAAGTAGACTTAAAAAGTTCTGCTCCGTGAAAGACAATGTCAAGAGAATGAGAAGACAAGCCACAGACAGAGAAAGATTTGGAAACACATCTGACAAAGGTCTACAAGCCAAAAGAAGCAAAGAACTCAGTAAGAAAACCTGATTTAAAAATGGGCCAAAGACCTTAAAGAGACACCTTGATAAAGAAGATAAACAGATGGCAATTTGGATGTGAAAAGATGTTATATACCCTATGTCATTAGGGAAATGCAAACTAAACCAGCAATGAGATACCACTGCACACCTATCATAGGGGCCAAGATCTGGAACACTGACCACTCCAAATGCTCATGAGGATTTGGAGAATAGGAACCTTCATTCATTGCTGACGGGAATGCAAAATGTTGCAGGCACTTTGGAGACAGTTGTTCAGTTTTTTAAAAACTAAACATACACTTAACATATGATCCGGCAATCTTGCTCTTTGATATTTTCCCAAAGGAGCTAAAACCTTATTTCCACACTAGAAACCATACACTGATGTTTATTGCAGCTTTATTCATGTTGCCAAAACTTGGAGGCAACCAAGATGTTCTTTCAAGGTTGAATGGATAAGTACACAGTGGTACATCCAGACAATGGAATATTATTCAGTGCTAAAAAATGAGCATTAAGGCATAAAAATATATGGAGGAACTTTAAATATATATTACTGAGAATGGCCAATCTGAAAAGGCTACTTGTGGTAGCATGATGCCAACTCGCTGATATTCTGGAAAAGACAGAACTATGGAGACAGTACAAATACCAGGGGTTTGGTGGTGGTAGGGAAGAGGGATGAAAAGGCAGAGCACAGACATTTTTTAGGGCAGTAAAAATATTCTATGTCATGCCGTAAAGACGAATACCTGTCATTGTACTTTTGTCCTAACCCATAGGATGTACAACACCATGATTGAAACCTATGTAGTTAAGGTGATCATGTCAATCAATGTAGGTTCATCAGCTATAACGAATGTATCACTTGGTGGGTGATCTTGATAATGGGGGAGGCTGTGCACGTGTGTGGATGCGGGGGTATATGGGAAACCTCTGTACCTTTTTCTATTCTCTGAACCTTAAATTGCTCTAAAATTAAAGCCTCAATTAAAAGAAAAATTTATGTATCATCTCAAGCCATTACAGGTTCTTGACTACAGAGGAGATGAGATGAAACAGCTATTTATAAGCTTGGGATATGGGTTACATAGTGAGCTGTGTTCATGGAGTTCTATTCTACTACCTAAGGCCTGTTTATCTGTACTCAGAAAAGAGATAGTGGCACTAATAATAACTTATTTTGTTACCCTTATTAATTGGAGTTCACATAGAAACTTTGGACACTGTGGTTCAGTCATCTACGGATGAAACCAAACCTGGTTGTGTCAAGTTATATAACATCCTGCAATAAGGGGGAGTAGTTTTTGTCTTCATACCTACTTTCTCTTATTCTTTCATTCCTTTTTTTTTTTTTTAAATCCTCACCCAAGGACATGCTTACTGATTTTATAAAGAGGGAAAGGGAGAGAGGGAGGGAAACATCAATGCGAGAAACATC